TAATTCAATATTTTAGGGCTTTTGTCTCAAATCCAGTTAAGTTGGTTTATGTTGTTTGATGTGAAATTTACGTTACCTATACTTTTTTTCTTTATTTGTGTTTATGACTGATTATTTAATAATTGATATTATTTTCATTAAAAATCTCAATTTTTATCCATTTTACATTGAAAACCCATCTCTTGTTTTCTGATTGGTGAACTGCACCACCATTGAATAAAAATTAGTCAGTACCGAAAGTACCGAAAAGTCAGAAATCCCGGTTCCTGATGCGCGGTACCGAAATTCTCGGTTCCGAAAAACAGCTCCGGTTCAGGAAAACCTACTAAGAACGATGGATTCGAGATTCGAGAAACAACTCGCTAGTAGTGACGGCGGTAACTGCGGTAAAAAATAAAATCTAGAAAAGGAATGGTAAAAATGGTACAATGCGCCGAAAAAAATATAAAGAAGTGCCCGAGCCACTGTTTTGCAAAAAATTGTCCGGATTTGCCAGTTTATGTCCATACACTATCGGTTCGGAACAATCCCACTCGTTCGGCTAAAACCGTGTAAAATAACCGAAGTGTATGGGGACCTTAACTGTCGATTTATTAAATTCGGCCTATCAAGCGGAACATTCTGTGTTTCGGTATATGGGTAATTCAATTTTATAAAAAGACAGTCGGAATTGCCTCACACGGCGCGGCAGCGGCGGTTGATTTCAATCACGTTTCGTTCAGAACCAGGCCCGTGAAATGAACCGTCAACAGGGAAATTAACGGTTTGTTTTATTTTTGTTTGAACCTCTAGTTAGGCCAATTAAAGCCTAGTTTTTATGCACGTGAATTTTGGATGTTTTCTGAGAAAAATGACGCAATAGATTTTCCATTTATTTTTATTTTTTATATACAGGGTGGTCCGAACTGTATTCGGAAACTTTGCAGCATATTCTACAGATAAAAAAATAAGTAAAAAGTTCGTATAAATGTACGTCCTAAAATGCTTAGTTTCGGAGATACAGGGTGTAGAAGTTTCATTTTTATTACAATTTTTTCCAAATAATTTTTGAAGTAACGTCAATATTTGGATGAAAATTGGTGCCTGGGAGTTTTTTGAGATGAAACATTTGATTTTGATGTCAATATGACTCATATTTGTAGAGAGCGCCACCTACATGTGGTTTAACTGTTTTAAAGGGTAATAACTTTTCGTCCGTACCTGTATAAAACTACTGAGTGAAAAAATATACATTTCAGTCACTTTTTACGTAAAAAATGCCTCTTGGTAAAAATCGCTACGAGCCACAGTTCTCAAGATATTTAGAACGGAAATAGTCAATACGTCATTATTGACAAAAAATAAACACATTGAGTAGATAGTTTCACTGAAAGTTTTTCTGCGAAAAAATGATGATAAAACAGTTTCTGTTGAACTTTTGGCACAAAAACATTTCAAGTTTATGATTTCAGTCTAACAACTATTTAGTCAACACGTTTAATTTATGTCAGTGATGACAGATATTGATAATTTCGATTCCAAATATCTCGAAAACCATCGTAGCGATTTTTCCAAGAGACCTTTTTTAGATAAAAAAACGTCGTAAATATATATTATTTTACGCAGTAGTTCTATGCGGGTACGGACGAAAAGTTATTACTCTTCAAACCAGTTAAAAAATATGTAAGGGGCGCCCTCTACAAGTAGGAGTCATATTGACATCAAAATCAAATTTCTCCTGTCAAAAAACTCTCCCAGACACCAATTTTCATCCAAATATTGACACGTTACTTCATAAATTATGATTATTGGAAAAATCGAAATATCGAAATAAAAATGAAAATTCTACACCCTCTATCTCCGAAACTAAGCATTTTAGGACATACGTTTATATAAACTGTTTTACTTATTTTTATCTACAGAATATGCTGCCGAAGTTTCCAGAATACACTTCGGACCACCCTGTATAATATATTTTGTATAAGTTTGCATTTGACGTTTTCATTTTTTTTAGTATTTTTTTGGTAAATGTTATGTAGATATTAATGTTACATAATCGTAACTTTTTACGAATTTTGTGTAACCATATTATTTTTAATAGAAAACGTCAGAAATTGGGATGCATGAGAACTAAGTTTGAGTCTCTACATATAAGCGATACCAATTAAACTCTTAGTTACGTCATCGAGGGCGCGATTTTTAAATTCATTGTTGCCAACCATGGACGTATTCGGCGCTGAGCTGAACAACTGGAATTTAAATTTCCCGCTGGCAATTCAGGTGGAGCTTTCTTGTAAAAAATGTCAAATTGCCACTTTATTTATTTTCTGACATTGTCATTCGTTTTAACACTTTAGTTTTGTATTACGAGTTTTTGGTTTAACTGAATTGTGTTGTGATTCTTAAAGCTTAAAAATGTTTACTAGCAGACCTTGCAGTCGGACATGGTTCTTTTTAGAACCTCTTTTAGTGCGAAGTGTACAAGATAGCTTAATAGCAGTTGCAAAAAGGTATTCGCAACCTTATTGGAATGATTGAACGGGAAAGCGGTAGTAATGGCCTTTTATCTCCCTTAAGTGCTGTTAAGGAGGTGAGATTTGTTGATGTAAATAATAATCTGTGTGTTGGTATTATTTTGGGTGTATTCACCCTCTCTGAGTACTCACCAACCTTATTAGAAACATGTGAAAATTCAGAGACATTTCATATATTATTTGTTAAATCAACAATTGGCAGTTCCAATTTCAACTTTCGAACTACGTCCGGTAGACAGGTTTCACTTTATACGTAATCGTAATAGCCGTTAAAAGGTTTTTAAATTTATTTATTGGAAAACAAAATTTATAACATTAATTTTATTTATTTATGTCTATCAAATAATAGCTAATTAAATTGTTTAAATAGAATATAATATTTAAACCGCAAAACTTTGTGCGTAAACAAGTAAACGACTTTAATAATTATTGGCAATTTATCAAGAATGAAATAAATGTTTTTATTATGTTTGGTTGTGCATTAAAGCATTTTATAAAGCTTGTGATAAAGCAATAAAATATCAATTTCAAAGTAGTGATTAAGATAACAAATAACTTATTTTTGTATGAATATTCATGTGCGTTTTAGATTTAGAAGAATTTTATTTTCTCATTAAGAAAAACAACTTTTGCTCATTTTTCTTTGTCGTTATTGTATAAAATTAATGTCCTATATTATTTTATGTTAGCAGACCCAGCCACGGCGTTGCGTTGGTGTAACTAAGATCAGTGATGGGCAAGTACCCGGTATACTGAAATTTGGGTAAATACCCAAGTTTTTGAATCCGATAAATACCCAAAGGGTCAATAAATGGTATATTAAATTTGGGTAAATACCATTATACCCGGTATATACGCAATCATACTCACGTTTTTAATTTAAGGTATTCTAACAATTATTTTTAAAAACAATTTGTTCTTAAATTAAAATTATTGAATTACTAATATCGCTATTAAAAAATAGGGGTTGATGGTAGAAGGGTGAAAATTTTGGGTTGTATCTATTTTTAATGGGGCAAATTTTTTAACGAATATAAAATGAAAAAGGTACAATATTGAGATGCGCAAATTCGCTATGTTAAAATATGACCCATTGGGCATGTCATGACGTTGATATCTCAAAATCGCCAAAAATCGAGATACGCCTTTTCGTCATAAAGCCGACGAATATAAAATGCTAATGTTCATCTGTGTCGTCTCTACTGAAGTAACGACTTGCTCTAGAAAGTTGCTTTTTTTACTAAAAGATAGCTAAATTGGCTCTTCAAAAAACTGTCGTCGCCGGATTTTTTGTTTTTTGATTTAATTAATAAAAAGTATTTTTTTTCCTGATGTTGTGGCGGATGCGCCAGGCTTCAATTAGTATACATATAAAATTTCATCAAAATCCGTCGATGGAATAAATATATAACTGTAACACGAGAATTTTATACATGGTGTCCCAATATTCCGTGGACATAGAACTATGTACTACGTATTTTTGAAATCAAATTAAGTTCATTAGACACAATTTACCTCTATATAAAACTTATTTTAACTTAAATAAACACATTTTTTCAGATATTTTAAGAACCGTTATTCCTATTTGAATGAAATTTTGAGTGTATATGTTTTGTTAAGTGCTTTAACATTTGACTTTCACAAAAATCAAGAAAAAATACGGGAAGGGTGAAAACTATCTCCACCCTTACATAAATTTTAGTGCAAATATTTTTCAATTCCACCGATCACAGATTTTCTTTTTGTAAAATGGTCCCTCTAGTATTTACTACATTTTTTGTCTCTTGTAAAAAAACTATCCCATAGTTTTTGAGAATTTTTTTTACCCATCCCGTACGTTTGGTTTTTGAAAGTCAAATGTTTAGCAAAAAGGTTCTTAAAATATTTGAAAAAATGTGTTAGGTTATTTTTTGAAAGTTTGATGCCCTCTAGCGGACGAAGGAAGCACTTTTGTGCAGAGAATAATTGTGTCCAATGAACTTATTTTAATTCCAGAAATACGTAGTTGTTTTATGTCCACGGAATATTGGGACACCCTGTATATTAAATATATCTCCTTGCAGTAAGTCTCAGTAATTAATAGATTTTGCATTGAACATTAATATTTTTGGAGAATAAATTGTTACTACTCTTTATATTTTTACGATAAACGACATGAATTACTTAGTAACTTAATCCATTAATCTGGCATTGTCAATCTCACTCATATTTTAAACTTTATTTCTTTAAAACTTCAATAAAACAGTCTGAATATCGCTTATTTACAATCAAATAGATATTTATACCGTTAAATATATCAATCAGCATCATAAAACTAATAAACGGAATTATATTTTTGATGTTGGCCAGTACCCCAAGATTTCCACATCAACCGCAATAACGCAGATTTTTATATTTATCTTTCCCAATAATTTCACTAGTTATTTTTGTTTCAGGGATATGTAATCGCCCATGGTCTTTCAATTAATCGTTTAGGTGAATCCAGTTATGGCACAAACTCAAGGCGAGATTAGGGTGGGTCCAGGAAACCAGGTAAAAGATGTTTATGTACGTTGATCCAAAATAAACACACGGTAACACTAAAGAATTTGATTTATAGAGGAAATATTTATTGCGTTCTTGTAACTTTGAAACCTTCAAATGTAGCTTACAGAAAAGTGTATTTCATTCTTAGTTATTTTTTTGTAATTTTATAATCACTTTTCAAGTATTATGTACCGGGTGGACATCTAAGGATGGACGTCGGCTGTATCTCAGATCAGGGTTGCCACAAGAAAATTTTTGATTGTGCAGAACTTGACCATAAAAATGAGTAGTATTGTGTACCCATCCATAACCAATAACTGTAAACTATCCAATAAGACATACTAGAGGTGTGTAGTTCGTGAACGAACTAGTTCCAATGAACTATTCCGACCCCGGAATGAAAGGAACTAGTTCCCGGTTTCTCAAAGAACTAGTTCCTCAGGACCTATTCCGGGATCGAGACTGCGACCGATATAGAATAATATGCGATGGCGACGGATCGGCTAGCGCGGGTAGCCCGATGGTAGGCAGGAGTGGGGAGTGCCAGCCGTACGTTATCGGATCCGGACCTAGAGGAACTCAACTAAATAAAAGACTAGTTTACGTACGAACGGATCGGGCCAGCGCGATCGATGCTAGGCAGGAGTGGGGAGTGCCAGCCGTACGCCGTATGTTATCCGGTCCTAAAGGAACTAGAGGAACTAAATAAAAGACTAGTTTACGTATGGATCAGCCAGCGCGATTGATGCTAGGCAGGCGTGGGGAGTGCCAGCCGTATGTTATCGTATCCGGACATAGAGGAACTATTAAAAGACTAGTTCACGGTAATCTATTCAGTCGGCAGATCCGAGATATAATACAAGGCGACGACGATGGATTCGACCTTGTCTATTGCCACAGCCGGCGCGGCGTAATTACCACAGAAATTTGTCGTGGATACTGTTTTTGATTTTTAGTTTGTTTTTTAAATATTTTATGGGAATGTTTCACTTTAGGTCTCTAAAATTAAGAGAAAGAAAAGAAGAAATATCTTATAAAACGAAGTAGATATAAGTATTCTGAACTTTTAGACAAAAACAAAAAGCTTGAAGTGAGGAAAGATAAATTTGCAATAAAACTTACCTATATGTTTTTAACATACACAATTACACGTTTCGTTATATCTCCGTACATTATAAAAATTATACAGATCATACTGTGAATAGTTCTGACTGACAACGAAACGCATTAGCAAACAAGGGGGATGTCAATGTTAGTGGAGAACTATTGTGAACTAAAGACCTAGTTCAAGGAACTATTCCTCTGGAGGAACTAGAACTAAGGAACTAGAATTACCACCTCTAAAACATACGTTCGTCAAATTTTAAAGCATGATTACGAGTCTCACTTCCACTCGTTTGTATACGTCAGTATATTCATTTCCCATTTCATTTCCTCTCATGCCAGCAAGAATTGCAGTGACGTCAAAATTGATGCCGCGAAACTAACGATTTTATCGACAAATTAGGCCGGTTAATTCTGTTTAAAAACTGTAAACTATTCAGGACTCACAGTTCAGGACTGTTTAATCGGCCAAATTTGTCCATAGAAACTGCAGTCCTTGCTGACATGGAAGTGAAATAGGAATTGAGGCCGCAAAATTTTCACGTATGCAAACGAGCGAAAGTGAGACTGTGAACCAGAGTGACGTAATTGAGCAGTGAAATTTGGCCAAAGTACGTATTATGTATTATTTAAGGGATAGCAATCCTGTTTCTTTACCCTTTTTGGCTCTTGTCTGTTGGTCCTTGACCATTTGACTCATACCCAGTTCATACTCTGACATGTTACTGGGCACCTGAACACTGATGACGGAAAATAGTATTTGTCAATTCAAAATTTAAAGTACACTTGCGGCCTCTTTCGATATACTAACTTAGATAACTTAAAAGCAAAAAAATCAGCTTTTGTCAGCTGATTTACTGTTCTGATATTATTTTTATACGAAATATGTAAATTCTCAAAATGTACTGTAACTTAGGCGATTGTGGTGTAGCTGTGCAATCATTGAGCAAATATGTAGCAAAGTACACAATTGTGTAGCTTGTGGCAACCCTGTCTCGGATACTGCTTATCGTATAACTTTGGGAAAAAAATTCTAATAAGTATTTCGACCAAGGGTAATCCCTGGAAATTATTTTCACCTGGACCTGTGATGGCCAATCAGAAAACAGGATTTTTTCTAGAAAATATGCACGTGAAGAGGTATAAGCAATAAATATTGCTATTGTAATCAATGAAAAATTTGTAATATTTTTGGTTTAGCGAATTTTGCTCTATCTCATAGAATAAAGTGGTGGGGAAAGGTTAAACTTTCTTTTATTAAAATAAGGATAATTTTGGATTGGGTTAACGGAGATAAAACTAGGGTTCTTTTAAAAGTGGTTTTCTTCCCCAATTATCCGCATTATAAACTTTGTCTACATAGATTTTGCCATGGTAGATAGAGCAAAATACGCTATACCAAACAAATTTAACAAATTTTCCATTTAATACAATAGCAGTGTTTAAAGTACTTCTTGACTTGCATATTTTCTAGAAAAAATCCGTTTTCTGATTGACCATAACAGATGCTCCCTCCAGCGGACATTTTTCGAACTTGAAATTAATTTTAAATGATTTCTCTTGGTCGATTTACTAATTAAATCTTTTTCCCTAAAGTTATAGGATAAGTAGTTTCTCAGATATAGCAGGCGTCCATTGTTAGTTGGCCACCCGGTACATATGTACATATATGTGTATAGGGTAATATATTATTTTATTTACAACTCTCAACGAAAAATGTATGACATATATAGTGTCATGCATTTTAATTCAAAGGGATTGATTGTGCGATCGATTGTCAATTGTCAAAAAAACTGTTCTTGCATGGGACAGCCATCTTAGCAACGCAACGCTACTGTTCATTCCCTACATTTTTCCTCACTCCTTTTCATTCGCGAATACCAAATAACATCAGCAAAATCAGGGATAAGAACTAAAGGTAGGGAATGTTCTCCATTGTACCTTCTATTCTATTACCATCAAGAATAAGTATTGAGGTATTTATTTTAATTGGCCGAAGAACAGACTTAACTCGTCTATAGAGCAGTTGTAGATAAAATAGTGTAATAACATTCTTAACATCACTTACCTACCCAAACCGAGCATGCGTACTGTAATATATCATACTCGTAACATATTATACAGGGCGTCCCAGAAATAAGTGCAAGAATTTTAACTGGTAGTATAGCTCGACCCTAGAAGCACACCCATGAGTTTTTTTTGCGAATAAAAAATGTTGAAAATTTTATATTTTTCTTGACATTTTCCGGAAAATATTGAAAAACTTTTGAGTGCCACTTGTTCAGTTTCCGGAAATTTATTTATAGTGCTTCGAGCGAATGCAATGTTGCCACCTCCTACTTTAATCACATTCTGTATGTTTATAAGTTCACATTTTTAAATTTCTACAAAAGAAATACATAAATTAGTGATTGTAGATCACTATTAATTATAGTGTATCGTCTACTATATTTTAAATACCTTTTTTACAGTTTAGTAAACTGAAATAATGAAACTAAATAATGAACAGAAGAATGAAGAATGAATTTTCAATAGTTCAGAATTAGCATCCTCTATTAGATATGTACCTAAGTAGTCAACGTTTGGTTAACATTTAAACAGGTCAGCTGATTGAATTTTTAGATTATCCACAATTCATTTGAGATTTTACTGAAAATAACAGACCTCTGATAAAACTAAAAAAAAAAATTGGCACCAGGAGGCACGTATAGCCGCCCATACTAAAATATGTTAATAAAAAGTTGGTAGGCAGTTGTTTTAGTTTCAAAGTAAAGGAATTTTTCCAATTTTTTTTTATCTCAAAAACTGCGACTTTGACTGATTTTGATGTTATTACAAATTTTGTTGCAAATAATATTCCTAATCTTAAATTGAAAACCGCGTTTCGCTAGCTACTGTAATTTTGGAGTTACGATTTTTTAAAATTTTTAACCCCTTCCCATACCCCCTTACCAACTCCCCCACCCCCACCAAAAACTAATGGCCAGATTCTCGGGTGCCACAGTATTTTTGTTCCAAATTTGGTTAAAATCGGTTTAGCGCTTTTTGAGATATCGTGTTACAGACGGACAGACAGACAGACACCATGAAAATATTTTGTATTTAGGTCATTTATGACCCAAATAACTTATTTTGAGTGAAATTAAAAAAACTTTTTTTGTCGATCTTAATAGCCTACCATACCTATTGGTATGATCATTTATTGGTATGGTCAAATTATTTTGGTTTTTATTCGCAAAAACAAGAGTGTGGTATAAAAAACAGAGGAGTTTACATTCTCAAAAAATAATCCTAAATAATTCAGATGACATATGAATGTAATTGGCCAAAAGTGGATGAACCAATACCAATAATTGCGAAGAAAATCAGATTTGAGGTGTTAAATATCAAAATTATTTTATGTACCTTTGTATGTTAAAAGGTTAATAAATACATTCTCACCAAAATACTACAAACAAATATAAATTCTTCTGTTAGTCTACTCAGTTATAGATAAGAATTGGCAAATATTGCTTTTTTGTCTTGGACAAAAGTAGATGAACCAAATATTTTTAAAAATCGTTAGTTTCATTTGTTCTGCTTTTATGAACAATTGCGATTTAAAAACATTTGAGCTCTTGTGATATATCATGCCACGTGGAATTAACTTGTCTGCAGATCTTAAGTTGCGAGTAGTGAATGCTTTTAAGGATGGTTTGAAGCAATCGGAAATCGCTAAGCAATTACGCCTTGGAAAATCAGCGGTACATTTTATTTTAAAGAGATATAATGAGAGAGGAGATGTCTCTATAAAAAGAAAACCAGGACGACCTAAAAAAAGTTGGTCCCAATGTGATAAAAGCCATAAAACGAATTTCTTCACAAGATCTATTTTTGCCGTCAACGAAGATAAAAGCAAAACTTGAAGAAATGGGCTATCCACCAGTGAGTACAAGGACGATCCGACGTAAATTAGTTGACCAGAAGTTGTTTTCCCGAAGAAACCACTGCTATCAAAAAAAAATGTGAAGGCCCGATTAGCATTTGCCAAGGAAAATCAAAACTGGACTGTGGCACAATGGAAAAAAGTTTGTTTTAGTGATGAATCAAAGTTTAATTTGGTGTCATCAGATGGAATTCAACATGTAAGAAGACCTCTACTAAGTACTAGTAAATTATAAGTTAATTTTTCAGTTTTTGTTAACATAAGATTTTTTTTTATTAAATATATGTTCTGTTCATCTACTTTTGTCCAATAGTTTTTTTCAATTTAAATTTTTTGCTACCTTATTAAAACACATTTTAAAAAAACAATGCTATTTATTTTTAAAGCACTGACACTAGACTTCAAGTAAATATAGCTCAAATTTTAGTTTTAAACATATTAGCAAAAACCCATTATTTTAACAAAGTTCATCCACTTATAGCCAATACTGTATATTGTTTGTTCCAAATATACGTGGGTATTTAAGTGTAGTGCTGTCAAGAAAAGCAATGTAATGAATTGTTGTTAAGTGTAGAGTTGCGGTTTTAGGGAAATTGACGTTGCAATATAATTACATCGATCTGCTAAAAAAATTCTAAAAAATTCTACTTCAGTCTGAAGTTTTCAAGTCGTTTTTAAATCTTTCTAGTCGATGTGGCAACACTGGACACCGAACAAACTGAGATTCTGGTAATTGCTTGGTATTTTACGCTGATTATTGATTGCTGGCGGCAGCGCTCAAAATGTTGCCATTATCTTTTTAAATTTTCAAAATTAAATAACTTGGTTATTATCAATTATTATAAAAATGGTATAGAGAAGATATGTTTCTTTTGGCGAGATCTACCACCCGTTAAAAAACTTGCACTTATTTCTTGGACACCCTGTATATTCGATATTAATTTAAATACTTCACCCTTTTGAACTCATTTAAATATTTTAATACCACACAAATGTGTTAATCATTGCTTTTTACATAATTTCTAATATAATATCCATATCCATTCGTCAGAGGAATCTGATAGGTCTAACATATAATCTATTATTTTATGATACTTTATTATCGTTATTATTTATGATTTGCAGATAAAATCTTTTATTAGTTCTACTTTTCTGTAAGTTGCCATAGAGAAATAATTTTATTTGTCAGCATGCCGCAGTATTCTACTATATTGCATGACCGTACGTATAAAGAAAATGTATATACATAGATAAAAACTAATTCAGCATGGTAGTACGTGTTTTTCTGACAGACTCATTAACACATCTATACATATTTCTGTATATTCTGTAAAAGTATACGAAAAAGATTAAATTGAATTTATATTGTAGAACTTGTAACTGTGTGTTAATTTTAGGCTAATGTTAGATATTTTAAGTGTAGTTTAATTTTACAATATATAGGTGGCAGTGGTTATACTTGAGAAAAAATGTATTTTTTTTTAATTAAATTTAAACTGTATTTTTGAATTAGGCTCGTTTACCCGAATACAGACCTGGAATTCCCTCTGAACAGTTATCTCCGGATCCAGAAGATACACATATTAGGGAAGAGCTGAGGTAAGAGTTGAGTTGGCATAATACCGGGTCTCAAAAGCTTCAGATAAAAAAAACGAGATTTATTATGTTAGTATACCGGGTGCGTCTCAAAAGTGCCTCACCCCTATAACTTTTTTATTTTATCAGATAAAAGAACGAAATTTGGTATGTTAGTATATGACATAAATTAGGATTGATTGACGTATTCAATTCTTTTCTGTCACTTTCTCTTTCACCGGAAATGACTATAACTTTTGATTTTTAAACGGCACCCTCGGTATTTTTTTACTTTATTCGATAGAAAATGACATTCTAAAAAATTCTAAAAATTCTGGTAGGCTATTAAGATCGGCAAAAAAAAATTATAATTTCACTTAAAATGAGTTATTTGGGTCATAAATCATAGATAAAAAATGACATTCTAAATAGAATGACATATCATATGTCAACTTTTGATATTTTAGCTTAAAACAAAATTGAATTTAAAATTTCAATCTAGAATGCCATGGCTATGTTAAAAATACTAATTTTTAATCAAGGAGCCTTGGAAAAATAGATTTGATCGTCTAATGTTATTCCTGTCTTGTCTAGGGCGGTTAGAAGATGATCAAATCGTATTTTTAGTCATATCCCATTTTTTTCAAATGGAACAAGGCTCATTAGCATATTATTTGGAAAAAGTATTTTTTACGAATAATTTGGTATCATACACTTGGTATTTCGAGTGAAATTGTCGTTATGAATCGCATGTTGCAATTTCAAATAAACCATATTCGAAAATATCAAAAGTTGACATATGATATGTCATTCTATTCGGAGTGTCATTTTCTATCGAATAAAACAACAAAACACCGAATACGTCAGTCAATCCTAATTTATGTCATATATTAACATACCAAATCTCGAATTTTTTAACTTTTGACATTTTAGCTTAAAACAAAATTGAATTTAAAATTCCAATCTAGAGTGCCATGGCTGTGTTAAAAACACTAATTTTTAATCAAGGAGCCTTGGAAAAATAGATTTGATAGTCTAATGTTTTTAGTGTCTTGTCCTGGCCAGTTAAAATATGCTTAAATCATGTTTTTAATCATATCTCAATTTTCTCAAATGGAACAAAGGTGGATCATATTAGTATATTTGGAAAAGGCATTTTTTACCAATAATTTGATACCACATACTTGGTATTTCGAGTCAAATTGTCGTTACGAACCGCATGTTGCAATTATTTTAAATAAATGACATATGATATGTCATTCTATTCAGAGTGTCATTTTCTATTGAATAAAGTAACAAAATACCAATGGTGCCATTTAAAAATCACAAGTTGTAGTCATTTCCGGTGAAACAGGAAGTGACCGAAAACAAGTGAATACGTCAATCAATCCCTAATTGATGTCACATACCAAATCTCGTTTTTTTATCTTAAAAAATAAAAAGGTTATAGGGGTGAGCCACTTTTGAGACGCACCCGGTATATATTTCACTTAGATCATACAGAGTGACATCTCGAATAGTAGCAATCGGAAATATTACTTCGACGAACAAAAAAATAGGAAGATAATTAATCTCTATACCTTTTTGGCGGATTCATTTCTTGAAATGAATTCTGTCAAACTGCTTTGTTTGTCCGTTAGAGGGCATCAATCAAAAACAAACTCCAACGTTAATTAATTTAAAATGTACGAAGCTGACTATCAAATATCATTTCTGATACTAACAAAGTTCCATATTTTCGCCAACTAGATTATTAGCGCTTGCTAGATTGTATGCGCCTACATATAGCTTGATGTAATTCAACTCCAACGAACAAACGAAGCACTTTTGTATAGAGGTAAATTGTGTCCAATGAACTTATTTTCATTCCAGAAATATGTAGTAAATAAATAACTCCGTATAAATAACTCTATTTCTTGCCAACATGTTTAGGAAGCAAATTATGGAAATAACGTATTAATAGTTGATTGAAAGAATTGGGAAGATTCGCAGCCTAATGGGCGAATTCGTGACAAAGCTGATTTGATTTCCCCTTACGTCTCAAGTGCTGTACGGTGGAGACACCAATCGTTCTGCGGCCAACGCATAAAACACTTATTTTTTCTAATTCGACCAGCGAAGGCATATCGAAGACGATGAGGAACTTAATTTTATTGAAATTAATCAGTTTTTCCCATCACTACTCTGTCCGCTGCGCTGTAAACGACGAAATCAGCGCGCAGCGGCGGAGAGCTAAACTAAATCTTGGACAGGCTGGCGGTAACGCCAGCTACATCTCGGACAGGTTTTGTACCACGAAATCGCCCATAAGGTTGCGCATTTTCTTATTTCTTCAATCAATGGTACTAGCTTATCTGCGCATACTAGATTTTATGCGCCTACATAGTTTGATGTAACTTTAACTCTAAAGGACAAACGAAGCTCTTTTGTATAAAGGTAAATTGTGTCCAATGAAGTTGTCATGATTCCAAAAATACATAGTACTTCTATGACTACGGAATATTGGGACACCCTGTATATAAATAACTATAAAATAGAAAAATGAAATTATCGGTCAAACCCTACAGTAAGATTAGCCATGAAGACATGACTAAAATATGACTACCCATAGACATTTAGTGTTTCTGCCTTCCGGCTTCATCAATACGGGAGGAATCAGCAACGATGAACTAGTCATCCTGAAAAAAAGAAAAGGGAAGCAACCGAGGCACGAGGCACCGTGCAATCTGATTATTAGAGTTCTATTTATTCCCCACTATACCTTTATTTAAATAACTATCTTTCTTTTTTTGCCAACATGTTTAGGAAGCAAATTATGAAAATATAAACGAATTATTCTTACATTTGTTATAGATGGGTACCTGCGATGACTTTGGATTCTGATCTCTTAATGTATTTACGTGCCGCGAGAAGTATGGCCGCTTTTGCAGGAATGTGCGACGGCGGTTGTCCCGAAGATGGTGCTAATGCTGCCTCTAGGGATGACACTACTATTAATGCCTTAGACGTGGTAAGTAGTTATGTATTGTGGCAAGGTTGGCAAAAATTATGATTTAAAAGAATATATCAATTCAGTAAGTTCTTTTTTATTTAAATCAGATTTAAACCATTTTGGGCAATTTTTACCATTTTGGGCAAACCGTTTTTAGTTAATTTAAGAAAAACTGCATCTATTTTTAAATTATAACTGAACAGCTAACAATGCAAAACCAGGTAAATGCCAACATATTTTAAGTTGTCAACCAGTTTTGTCAATGTCAAATTATATCGCCTAAAACTTAGGCTTTTCTTTAATTTGAACAAGTTTTAAATTACAAAAATGCAAATCAGGCACAATAACCATAGGCGTAAACAGCACAACAAATTGCATTCAATCATAGTTTGACAATTTAAGGTATTTGCCTGGTTTTGCATTGTTACCTGTTCAGTTTGAATTTAAAAATAAATGCAGTTTTTCTTAAATTACTTAAAAACGGTTTGTATAAAATTGTTCAAATTTGGAATGTATATTCAGCATACTCAAATCTTTAAAAAAAACTATTTACAACTTTGCTGTAAAATCAATATTGGAGCCAATATTTCAGGAGTATGGCATATATAGCATGGCATTTCTTGTTTCCTACGCCGATGCACCACCCGGTATAGGTGGTTCTCTATGGAAAATTAACAATCCGGTAGCCACTGTCAAATCTTTTAAAAAAGCTAGTACTCCTCATAATACGTTTCTTCTAAAAAAATCAAATTAATAGTATTTCAATTAGATCCTAAAACACTTGTAATGAACTATAAAGTAACTAAAATAAGAGAGTGTTTGAAAGGTTGTCTAACTTGACCATAATGTTGCATAGTTCAGTTAGGGCTCCAAAGCGTCGCCACCTGCTACCTGTCACATGTCATGACAAGATTGACAAGTGACATGACAACATATTATTTGTATTTTCCTTTGCATTTTGTTATTATTTTGTGTAGCATATTCTTTGTTTGTTTGTTTTGTGTTTGTGCGTACAGAAATTATGGAGGAAGTTATTTCTTTAGGAAGCAGAGACCTTATATTTCTCTATGATTTGAAATTTATGTTTTGTGTTATGTGTTTTGTCATCATCGTGTAATATTTTGTTCAGCCGATAATGTGATTTAAATACGATCCAGGAAAGGGTATCATGCAAAGCAAGTTCGATATGTAAAGACATTGCCCATCTCTGAACTCCGTGAACGTAAAACGAACTGACTATAAATTTGCGCCTTCATTTCATAGTGTTGAACATTTGCTACCTTAACTGAACTTCAACTGCCGAGTCTTTTTTAAATCTTTATCTGTTATAATGTATAGATTGCAAACCCTGCAATCTTATATGCTTTGTTAGTGGCGTTGTTAAATAAGTTATATAATACTATAGGTTAATTCAGCATATGTTTTATATTATCAAATTTAATTTAAAATTTAACTGTAAGCATTTGAAAAGCGTACAATAGCTTATACTTTCAAATATTCGGTTTTTAAAAATAAATTTTCTGTATATTTTTTGCAGTTTTAATTTCGTAATATTTTTTAAAATACATAAAATTTTATATTTACATTTAAACTGCCCGCCTTTTTAGTGGAAGGCAATGCAGAGACCTATTTTACCGATTACGTCTGTCATATTTCCATTAGTTCAGTTAGGGCTCAAGGGTGCGCTACTATCGGTCCTGGTTAAACGTGTTGCCTACTTTTGACTATGGAAATGACATCTCTTTTATTTTATATTTCTCTATGTATGTAATGAACTAGTTGTTTGAAACCCTGTATATTTCTAGCTTCATGACTCGGGATACGATCCAGGCAAGGCACTTCAGGCGTTGGTAAAATGTCCCGTTCCTAAAGGAATCGACAAGAAGTGGAGCGAAGAGGAAACAAAAAGGTTTGTTAAGGGCCTGAGGCAATTTGGCAAGAACTTCTTCCGTATCAGAAAAGATCTCTTACCTCATCGAGATACCGTAAGTGTATTACAAAATTAGAATATACTTTAAAGTTATTAATTAACTGATTAATAGTAAAGACAAATACAGGGCGATTAAAAAAGCATGTGATATCTTTCGTGGGTAGATTTTTCACATAAAAATAAGATTTCTTTTATAGCAATATGGGTACATACGGTTCTGCTTTGTTTCGTAGCTACAGGAGGATAAAAATTCTTCATTTTTTTAGCCGACCATACCGACAGGTATGGTAGGCTATTAAAATCGGCAAAAAAAGTTTTTTTAATTTCACTCAAAATGAGTTATTTGGGTTATAAATGACCTAAATACAAAATATTTTCATGGTGTATGTCTGTCTGTCTGTCCGTCTGTCTATCTGTCTATCTGTCTGTCCGTCCGTCTGTCCGTCCGTCTGTCTGTCAGTCTGTAACACGATAACTCAAAAACCGCTAAACCGATTTTAACCAAATTTGGCACAAAAATACTGTAGCTCCCGAGAATCTAGCCATTAGTTTTTGGTGGGGGTGGGGGATTGGTAAGGGGGTATGGGAACTCCAAAATTACAGTAGCTAGCGAAACGCGGTTTTCAAATTAAGATTAGGAATAATATTTGCAACAAAATTTGTAATAACATCAAAATCAGTCAAAGTCGCAGTTTTTGAGATAAAAAAAATCAAGTATAGGCGGTTATACGTACCTCCAGGCGCCAATTTTTTTTTTATTTTTTTTTTATTATGATTTTCTTCCAAGTGGTTTTAGTGATTCTAATGAAATTTTGAGGGTAAAAGTTACTATAAGTATGTACTACATATTTTAATGCTAAAGAAGTGTCGACAGTTTTACTGAATTTGTTTGTCTTGTTAGCAAATATTTGTAGGTCTTTTAATGCCCATTAAAAGTTGTATCTTGATATTTTGTCGATTTTGATCTTCTTTATGAGATAAACGCAATTTTATTATTCACAATTGATAAAAAAAATTAAAATAAATTAAAAATTATTTATTTATTCTAATTTATTATTAGATTTTATTAAAATATATAACACTTATGCTCAGTGATACCTACAGCCTACAGCAAATTAAAAACTAATAAAAATAATGGTATTTAAAATAATTTTACAAAAGGCCTATTTTTTTAAATGTTTTAACATCCTGTAACTTTATAGCTATGCATTTCCGCACCTATGTTTATAGGATTTTTTTTCATATTCTTTGATTAGGAATCAGTAGGTACTTATTTAAAACTTTGTTAATGACATTAAAAAAATTAGAAGTTGCTTTAAGGTAAATTAATAAAATTGCGTTTATCGCATCAAGGAGACTGAAATCGACAATATGCCAAGAGACAACTTTTAAACGGTCTCCACAATTTTGCTAACAATAGAAGAAGAATTCAGTGGCGCACAGCTTTTTTTTAGAAAAATATTCCAATGATAACCCATATGCACGTCCTTATTGGTGAATCTGTCTACACTTTTTTAGAATTAAAATATGTCGCACTTATAGTAACTTTTACCTTTTTCGTTATCGAAATTTTGTTCGAATCGCTAAAAGCACTTGGAAGAAAATTGTAATAAATCGAAAAAAATGACTTTAACCCCTCGCTATAGTCTGTCCAACGACAAGATCCTTGACAGTGATAGATGTGTCTGTCATTTTAATTTCAAAGTAGTTTATTTTATTTTACAAAGAAATAAGGTGGTACAACTGTAACGCATAGCAGGAAATTAATATATTTAAAATTTGACTGATAAGTGATTACTTCAAAATATTGTGAAGTGAAAAAAAACTGTATAAAACTGAAAAAATGTAATCGAGTTATTTAAAAAAAACGGTATGCGTTAATAAAAAACAAACAAGAGCAAAACACCGCTTACCAAAAAAAAATAATAAAAAAGAACTATTTCTTACTTTCAATCTTCAGTAAACTTCCCGTATTTATTATTATAGGTATTTATCAAAAATAACATAACCTCACTTAAATTTTGAGTTTTTTTGGTATTTATCAATATAACTTATGTACAAATACAAATTTGTAATATTCCACAGGAATAAATAAAAGAACATAAATAAAACAAACTATTTTATTAATAATAAATAATAACACTTACCAAATTTTATACCTTAAAGGTTGATTAATTAACTTTAATCATAATTTTTTTAAACCAGTACCTTTTGACATTATTTTTCTGCATTACTAAAATTATAGTATCTTATGGTACTAAAATCCATTATTTACCTATCGTGTGATGTCGATATTTTACAGCTACTCCAGTAGTATAGGTTTAGTATAATCCTTTGTAGCATATACGAGATGCAATTATCTACGACGAGATGGTATACAAACTTTATTGATGAAAACCTTATTGGTGTATAAGACTATTTCTGCCTGGGCAGCGAGTATTAACTATAAACTGCGCTCTGGGTCTACAGTTAATTTTCCCACGATTTTTCCTCCACTTGACTTCAAAAGACACAAAACACACGTAATAACACGAATCAAAATGCATCATCTTTCAAAACGCAGATATTTGACATAAGTTGACACAAAATTATAACCTATAATTTGGCAAGACTTTGACAAGCCTCAAAAATCTAAAGGCGAGTTCATACGTATCTGCGTCCGTTTGTCGTTCATCGTTCCGTCAAACCAATAAAATTGAAATATGATCTCATTTTTCATGATGTCATTTTTGAAATAAACCAATAAAACTGGTTAAAAACAACAAGAGACGACGCATGACTGATTTATATTTAAACCCATCAAGAGTTAACTTAAAAAATATTAAACACTTTTTTTAGTAAAATAAATAGATTGGTATGGGACGTCATCTGCTTCTGTCATCGTCTGTCGAAATCTTAACTGAGAAAAAAAAACAGAGTATACGACATAGGTCCGATTTCGCGTTATATCAATATAGGTCGATATAAAAAATAAATCATATTTTTACGTGAGGAATCTCCCCACGAGAGATGACACATATTCTTTGAAAGACCCTGTACAATAATAATAAAAATATTTAGCCTGAACTAGTCGAGTTCTACTATCTTTGGAAGAAAACACCCGGTGCGAATAATAATAGACCTCACAGACGTAGAAGACAAGGGTCCTTACGTAGGATAAGGAATACTAGGAATAGTAGAGGAGGTAATGGTGCATCTACTACAGGTAAGTTGTGGTTGTGAATAGCGGTGGTCTAAAGAAATGCTCATATTGGGTGCGAAACACTGTATAATCTTTAGAAAGTAATGATATATATGAATATGATTATTAATGCATTTTTTGAGACGAGTTCAAATTTTCTAGAAAAGATTATAAAGACAGCACCGCATATTTTGGAGTAATCAGGTATTTTCAACTTTTATTGGTAGTTTGTTTTTTCCTCATTAGTACTAAAAGTACTTCTCTTTTATAAGGATTAGATTTTTGTTTTTCTAATACAATAAATTATTTTGAAATCGTGTACCGAAAAACGAACATCTTAAAATTTTCAGGTATCTTAAAGTTTTATATATATATTGTGTTCTAGGGGACCAATTTTGACTATTTTTTAAGCAATTTATAGCTAAATTTCCATCGGTCAATTATACGAGGGAAAACAAACGTTGATATTTTGGTGAAAGTTTGGAACATTCTATGGAGTACATTAACAAAGCAAGGAATTTAAAAATAAATGTCATCTAGGTGTATCTTTCCTCGATAGTTTGTTTTTTGATTCGTCTCAATAGCTGTATTTCTTTTAGAGATTTTTTCTTTTGAAGACGACACTAACATTTTTTAATATTTTTACATTAAAACCATGCCTTTGTTTTTTGTCCTAGGCAACAGGCCTAAAATAATGTGTATGATTTATGTAATGTCACTGTGTTCGAAAATCATATTATTGTCTGTTGTGCAGTTACTCTAGCAGATATGATTTTAAGTTCAAAAGTTGATCTCCATCATGTTCATTTAAAGCAGCAATAGCCGATATTTCAGTACTTAATACTATCTCTACTAGAGTAAACGTCGTAAATAAACAATAATAATGTGGCTTTTCAATGACAGTGACATTACAAAAACAGTAAACACTATTTTATAAGTGTGTTGATGAGGACCGAAAATCAATGCTAAAATTGCTGTAGATTGTTACTGTCTTATTTAAAGGCAAATATCTCCAATAAAAATAAAGATATTGAGATGAATAAAAAATGAAACTATCGTGAAAAGATGCACCTAGATGATAAAACTATTTTTAAATTTCTTGCATTGCTAACATATTTTACAGGGTGTTTCAAACTTTCACCAAGTATAAACATTTTGTTTTACTTCGTATAATTGACAGAAGGAAACTTCATTTTTAATTTAGAAAGAGACACTAAAAAGCGAAGTAGTTTAGCTACAAATTGCTTAAGAAATCATCAAAATCGGCCCACTAGAACAAAATATGTTAAACTTTAAAATACATACATCTAAATAAAGGTGTCCGTTTTTCGTGCCGCTGAGTGTAGAAATTACTAACATTTGGGATTATAAGTATTATATGTGTATGTGATGATTCTTTCTTAATTTTAAATAAATAAAATTGTACTTTTACTTGTTTTCTAATTTAGTTAAAATTAATTCTGTAAATAAATTTGGTATGCATGAAGTGGGGTTTGTTTAGATTAGCTTGGTAGTTTATACAGTGTAAATTGGACTTTTGTTCTTTATAATTTTCTCATAAAGAAACTGCTGTTTTTTTTTATTAATATTCCAATTTGCACTGCTTAAAATATGAGCATTACAAAAGTGTCATAGTCAAACTTTTTTTTAAATGAAGCTTATTTCAAGTTTTTATTTTATTTTTTTCTTGTAAAAGAGAATACGTTTAAAAATTGTCGGAATTGATCAAAATTTTACAATTTTTTAGGCCACCTCTATAAAATATACAGGGCCACAACTTCAAAGTTATTGTATTTTATTGATTCTAGTATTTGTGTAGTGACCTGTATATTTTAGAAATGCATCTTGCATTTATTTTTTATGTAGAAGAAAAGAAAATATCATTTTTTTAATATGATGACAATGAAAGCAGCTTTTATACCGATTCTTATACTGTTTAATTAAAAAAATATATATTTTGTTAGATGAGGTTTTAATATTTGGCCTTTTGAAAGTAAAATAGTGCACTGTGTAAATATTTCCATTACTATGGCAAATAAAAGGTCTAGATAGCACCATATTAATGCCATGGAAATATTTTTGTTTACTATTTTCTGTAAAAGTTGCTTTCTGAAATAATATTTATTTTACCTATGAATTTGTGAATTTCAACAGGTCGTACCAGTGGAGCTGCAACGCCAGCTCCAGAATCTACTGAAAATAGGCCTTCCCCTCAACCAGGCGAAAAGAATCCTGGCGAAACAAGTTCTGTCACAGAGGATGACAATGATAATGAGAGTGAGGATGATAGTGACAGTAGAGAAGCACAATATAGATGCTCACACTGTTTTACTACCAGTATGTTTCCATTAAAGTCTGCATCTTACTGCAATGATATAATGTTATTTCATTATAGATTCAAAAGATTGGCAACCAGGAGGGAAAGATAGACAAATTTTATGTTGGGATTGTAGAAACCATTATAGAAAAACCAATGAATTACCACCTCTTGCGCTTCCTAATTCAACTGCAAATACTCCACCTGCAGGTAATTTTATGACTGGAAAACTTAGTAAAAGCTGACATATAATTATATAAAAACATTTTAGAAGGGCCGGATGAAAGTCCTCAGCGAATGCGGACTAGAAATAAAGGTGCTAAAGATCAGCCAGCTAATAACAGGGCTCGTCCTAAACGCGGTAGTTTGTACATCATCATTAGAATTTACACGTTCTAAATTATTTGTTTTAAATAGGTGGAACGGAGACACCGGAACCTAAAACGCCGGTGAAACAAAATGTAACGAGTAACGAAAAGACGTCATCGTCGAACTCTCTAGGTACGCCAGCAAAGAAGAAAGGAAAGGCCGAAAAACAAGAAACGCCTATCAAAAACAGAAAGAGAACACAGGTATTGTATAAACATATTACTTTTTAAAACAATATTTTTTAATACTACTGGCTAGCGATTCTGTAAACATATTTCCTGTCTAGTGACTCATCAATTGTATACAAATAGCATAGGCTAGACAGGAAATTTCTTGCTAAGGAGCTTACAGAATCCCACTGCTGCCTTATACGGTAATCGCAAAACAATTTCCGATGCACGTGATCAACTTTGAGTGACAAGCGATGGCGACAGCGCTGCCAGATTGTGATGGATTTATGGGATGAATCTTAATTTAAAATTGACAAACTATTTATTATATCATTGTTTAAAGATTTTTACGTTTTATTTTTAACAATTTAATAACTAATATTTTGATAATTAATTGATTTATTTGTTTTATAGCTTATTTTACTTATTACATATTGGCAAAAACTAGTCCATTGTGAAGATTATTCTAAGCGTTATTATGGGTTATTTGATGTACTCCTTACAACGCCATGAGTGGTAGTAACAAGTAAGAGGGTGCTATTAATGCACAAACTAATAATCACAGAATTTAATAAAAACTAACGTAGAAATAACTTTGAAAATGGTATACCGGGTGCGTCTCAAAAGTGGCTCACCCCCTATAACTTTTTTATTTTTTCAGATAAAAAACGAGATTTGGTATGTGAGTATATTACATAAATTGGGATTGATTGACGTATTCAGTTGTTTTTAGTCACTTCCTGTTTCACCGGAAATAACTACAACTTTTGATTTTTAAATGGCACCCTCGGTATTTTTTTACTTTATTCGATAGAAAATGCCACTCTGAACAGAATGACATATCATATGTCAACTTTGACATTTTCTCATATGGTGTATTTGAAATTGTAACATGCGGTTCATAACGATAATTTGACTCGAAATACCAAGTGTGTGGTAACAAATTATTCGTAAAAATATTCTTTTTCCAAATAGTCCAATGAGCCAAGCGAAGCCAAGTAGTCCAATGAGCCAAGTGACCAAGCGAATCGCTTGTCGCTTGCTACTTACCATTCATCACCCAAAGAATATGTGCTCTGCGAACACAACTTACTGCTTGGCGTTACGAGTAGTGATGGGATAACTCGAGCGAAAATTCGCTCGAGTACTCGATTATTGAAATAACCGACGTCGCTCGATTATGTTATAATAATATAATAATAATATAAGAGCGATGCAAGTGACGAGTACCAAGCGACGAACGCAAGCGATTCTAGAATGAAATAAATTGAAATCTGATTTTAATGTGACCTACTCGATAGGTAGCAAATTTATACGACGCCATATATACCGGGTGCGTCTCAAAAGTGGCTCACCCCTATTACTTTTTTATTTTTTTTTTGATAAAAGAAATGAGATTTGGTATGTTAGTATATGACATGAAATAGGATTGATTGACGTATTCAATTGTTTTCTGTCACTTCCTGTTTCACCGGAAATGACTACAATTTTTGATTTTTAAATGGCACCCTCGGTATTTTTTTTTACTTTATTCGATAGAAAATGACATTCTAAATAGAATGACGTATCATATGTCAACTTTTGACATATTCGCTTAAAAACAAATTGTATTTTAAATTTCAATCTAGAGTGCCATGGCTGTGTTAAAAACACTAAAAATTAGCGTTTTTAAAAGAGCCTTGGAAAAATAGATTTGATCGCCCAAATCGTATTTTTGATCATATCTCAATTTTTTTCAAATGGAACGAGCATACGAACGGATCATTAGCATATTTCGAAAAAGATTTTTTTTATGAATAATTTGATACCACACACTTGGTACTTCGAGTCAAATTATCCTTATGAACCGCATGTTACAATTTCAAATAAACCATATGCGAAAATGTCAAAATTTGACATGTGATATGTCATTCAATTCAGAGTGTCATTTTCTACCGAATAAAGTAAAAAAATACCGAGGATGCGATTTAAAAATCAAAAGTTGCAATCATTTCCGGTGAAACAGGAAGTGACCGAAAACAATTGAATATGTCAATCAATCCTAATTTATGTCATATACTAACATACCAAATCTCCTCCGTTGTTTTATCTGAAAAAAAATAAAAAAGTTATAGGGGTGATCCACTTTTGAGACGCACCCGGTATATTTACCCGTTGCGTATCCGAGAGACAAAATTTTACGACCTACATCGACAATGCTTCGAAATAAACTAAATCAGGCGATCAAGCGAATCGCTCGCCGCTTACTACTTGCCGTTCATTACCGAAAGAATATGTGCCCTGCGCACGCAGCTTATTGCTTGGCTCTTGGCGTTAACGAGTACTTACAACATGCGACGGACAAAAAACCGTATTTTTAAATACGAGCGATATTTCGCTCGAGTGATCTCTCGGTTATTGCAATCGCTTGATACTCGAGTACTCGATTATTGAAATTAATCGGTTTTTCCCATCACTAGTTACGAGTACAAGCAACAAGCGACGGGCGAAAACCCGTATTTTTAAATACGAGCGATGTATCGCTCGATTCAATAATCGAGTACTCGATTATTGAAATCGCTTGAAACTCGAGTTCTCGATTATTGAATTTAATCGGTGTTTCCCACCACTATTTTCAACACACAATTTCAAGAAATGCAATACAAAAACTCGAAAATTTAGTTCTTAAAAGAACTGTTTGGGCTTAAAAATACAATTTTTAAAAGAGACTATGAGAATAGGCAAAAAACGAGAATTATTCACAAAGATTCAACAACAACACGATATTATTCAAAATAATGACTGACATTAGAATAAAGAGCTGCTCGGTATCTTAAATTATACAACAAATTTAAACATTTTTGCCAAAATTTTATTTAGTCAGTTATTTTAGTGTCAGTGTTGATATGATTGATAACGTGCATCGGAAAACGTTTTGCGATTACCGCACTTTGTTTCTAAAATTTTTGTCACTATAACTTCTGGCGATCACTGTATAACCGTTACTGCATTTTCTAGGATAAAGTCGATGATGCAGAAACTGACGAAAAAGATGGAGCTGTGTTTAAAAAGAAAAGAGACAGGGCCGATAGCCCTGCAAGTGTTACTTCTGATTCTGGCTCGATGAATGATGAACCCGAATCAAATGAACCTAGTCAAGAGCCACCTGAAATTAATGGGCTTTCAACAAACATTAGTATTTCGAATAATAATACAACATTTAGTTCTACAGTTACCACGTCTGTTAATACTATTATTAGCGCTAATAATAATATTATAATGCAGGTTAGTTTTTGCTTTAGTGTTGCCTTAAGCTTGATTTTCATGCAGCCGTTGTCCGACGATATGTTGATACGAAATTAATTTTATTGGTAGAATTTAAATACTTTGATTGGTTAGAAAATAACGCACTTTTTAAATTTATTGCATTTTCATGCCTCCGTTTATCGGATATGCGTTGGTGTTATTTTATATTTTCGTTTCCATAACGATTTTGCTATTTTACTTATATTTTTATTAAGGTTAGATTAAATTTGTCAAAAAAGTGTCAAAACGTCCGTTATCGTATGAACGGGTCTGTTGACGGGCTGAAGTAAAATATTTACGGATGAAAAGTGGCGCGAAAACGCTATGGCCAATCAGAGCACCGTCGGACCAACGTACCAACCTATAACGGATGCATGAATATCAAGCTTTAGTGTTTTTGCCTTGGTTTTTTTTAGAATCTTAAAATATTGACATCTTGTTTCAGGAATCACTAAGTAGTAAACCTCAACAAATTAAGTGTGAAGAAATAGATTCTAATATTATTACTTCGTCTATCACAAATGTATCTCCAACAGTACCTGTTATAACTTCAAGCAAAATACAAAATGCAAATAATGTAGAATCAATGCCTTTAAATGTATCAATTAGGTTACCAGAAGATGAAAGAAAGAATTTAATAAAAAGGTATTTTGTTCATTAAATTTATTTTAAATAAAGTATTAATTAAAGATGAAATTTTATAATTGAACTTGGTAATTTTAGAAACTTAGAGGGTGCTTTAGATATTAAAGATCTTAAATTTAATCCAGCTGCAATAAAATTCAATCAAGAAGAAATTAAGAAAGAATCTGATGTAAAATTAGAAACTCTTCAGCCAAAGAAAGAAGAACAAAAGGAAGATATTAAAGAGTCAGTTTTAAGTCAGCCAACGTTACAAAACTTTGAGCAACAAAAGCCTCAGTATAAAACTGAGTTAATTATACCAAAAGTTACAGTAGAGAAGCCAATTATAAAGGAAGAATTAGATTCCAGCAATGACGCTTCTCTCCTTAGCATAAGCTCAAGGGAGGATTCAAGTAGTCAACCGCCTTCCCATAATTTATCCTATAAAGATAACTCTCTGTATATGCCTCAAAATATGAATATCAAAGATTCGATAAGTTTTGGCATGAAAGATCCACCACTTATTAATCATTTACAACCGAAACACGCCATGAACCTTAAAGAGAATAAAGAGCCTATAATTAATATGAATCATTCAAGTTACATTAAAGATGGAAGGGCGCAAGATCAGTTGACATTTGGTTATCAAAATAGGGAACCTGTCAGGTAATTTATATTTTAAATTAGTAGCGTGTTTACCTTGGAAATTAAGGATTGGAGATTTTCCAGATTTCTGAAAAAAATATCCCCTCATAAAAATTATTTATTTTATTCTATCTAGCCAAACTTTGCAAATAAATGTATAGAAATGTTATACATTTTATCTATGAATCAGATGTATTCTAGCACATTTTACTAAATCTGATATATATTATAAGGCGCGAAAGTTTGTTTGGATGTTTGATACTCTTTCACGCAAAAACTACTGAATGGATTTTTAAGAAACTAGATGTAGGGACGTAATGGCGGGTCGTTAGAAGCAAAAAACAAAAAAAAAGAGAAAACTATTTAAAATCTCTAAATATAACTACTCAGTTATTGAACAGTTTATTAGGACTCCAAATTAACAATTACTACCTGAGCACAATTGTTTAGCTATAAATCCGATCCCTTATCTCTACTCCAAAAGTATTTAGAAATTACATAAATAGAAGAATCACATGATGTCACAGAAGGAACAAATAGAACTGTATAATCTGTCCTATGACAAAATCCGTGCTAATATGTCTATATGATATATGTCTGTTTTGTTCGATAATAGGGTATTGAAAGGCTTTTTATCTATGTGCTAAAAAATGTTAGTAGCTAGGAGTTTTAAAAAAACTTTGCTTTCGGCGCGGCTCTTTTTATTTTCCTACAGTTTATCCGTTTCTTAAAGGGTAGGCACGCCACTGTTCAAAATAGCAAGATATTTTCGTATTTACAATTTAACATTATAGGGATAGCTCGAATAATAGTAGCGGTACAGTAGTAAAAATGGAACCTAGGGAAGAGCCTATGGAACTGACTAATCCCAATAGAAATGAACCTCAGCCATATGGAAATATGCAACCTTTAAATATCCCACAAGTTATTCCAATGTCTCAGCAGCTGTCACAATCATCTAGACCAAATGATGTAAATTATTTATCTTATTTTATTTGTATCTATATAATTCCTTGATGTATGTATTTTAGGATGACAGGTTAAGACAAGAAAAACATGAGAGACCTGAGAGAATCGATAGACCTGATCATGCACAAATGCAAAACGCTACACCAATTGGTCAACCACCTCTTCCTATGCAGTCGAGCAACTTGGTTACAATTGGTGGATCTCAACCGCCACCTGGAATTGGTCATTATGGATTTATGACCCCATATGGTCATCCTCATTCGCCTAGGACTTTAGAAAAACCTCCGCCACAACACTTGCAACAGCAACAGGTATATATTTGTTGTAGATTAACTTTCAAATTATTTTACACTCAATTGATGTTTCTTTCAAGAATGAGCCTCAAAATCTCAAAATAAAGCAAGAAGTGCCTGAAAGCTCCCCTCAAATGCCACCTTCCAGTAGTTTTTCAAGTTATAGTTCCAGTAGTCTTCCTCCAAGTTCCCAAGGTTTGCCACCTTCGAATTCAAGCTTTGTTCCTCCACAACCAAGTCATTTATCGGATCCTTTACAAAGTTTAAAAGATGTCAAGGTAAACTTCAATTTATCTGACTAATAATTTTTAATAGTAACACTCAGTATTAGGAAAATAGGTTATTTTAAAATGGAAATGACACAAAACTATCATTAAAATTAGATTTGCTTTGTTTCATTTTATATGCAGGGTGTCATGAAGTTTTCAATAATGGGAAAATGTTTTATTATTGAATTACTGGAAAAAAGTTTATACAGAATTACTTACAGCATGCTCAATAATAAAAATTGTCATTTGAAAACTGTCACGGTAACAAACTACAAAATTCCTCTTTTCATACTCAAAAATTACAATTGGTTGACAAAATATCCAAATAAGAAATAGAAAAACTGTTCAGAACTGTTCAGACCCTACGTCATTATACCAAGTTTTGTGAATATACAAAGACTCTGAAGCATTTGTCGAAAAAACTTTCTGTGAATGAAATAGAACAAAGATAAAAAAATATAATACATAATGGAAACAAAAAGAGAACAGTAATCCTATTTTACTGTTCTGTTTTTGTTTACTTGCGCTCTGTTCTAAGAAAAAAACAAAGCAGTAGGTTCAAATTTTTCTTTTCTATAAGCTATTTCAAATAGTATCTTAAAAATTAACATTATTTTTTTATGATTAAGGGCCTGTATTGCACATTTTTCTTTAAAATTATTACATAGACATACACGTAAAATGGTCAGGTCATGGTCAGGTCCCCACAATAGGAATTGACCTCAAATCCAAGGAGGCAATAGAGAAAGAGGGACATATCCTCTATTATAGATATGGGACAACACCGGTAACAAGCTCCTTGACTGTGAAGAGCGGCACGGAGGGCCAAACTTCAACCGTGGAAGGGTGTGTACCCTCGGAGGAAGAACTGTCGTCAGAGGAGGATGGGAAATACCCTGTCCCCTCTACAACAGGGGTATGATGGGTTATAGATTGTGTGATGACTCAAGAAAGGGGAGGCACAATAGATCTTTAAGGTCGCAGTGATTAACCCCCCCTTTTACTCATTCTACATTCTACACGTAAAATCAAATTCATGTTTTATCATCTAACAACGTTTTGCATATTATGTAAAAAGGATTTTTGTAATTACTTACAAAATGATTCTGTAATTAAAAAATTCCCTATTTTTACGAATTTTATGGTACACTCTGTATACCTGTCAAATTCTAAGTTAGTGATATAATTCCACATAATATTCCCATATAATTCCATTGATTTAATATTCCATCGATATTATTGAGTAAGACAATGTGGTGACAATTGACAACCAGTTGACAGACACAAAGAAATGCAAGACCTCCTTTATTCAGTAGGCATGATTAAAGATTAGCGAGGTGGAAATCATATTAAATTAGGCAAATTACACCAATAAAATGTGTAATATTATTTGATTGAGATTTTTTATTATAACTCTTAAAACGACCTAAAATAGATAGTCACCTCTTTACTTTTTGCTTTTTTTATATATACATCTTGATAATCATAATGATGCAACGAATGTAACGAAAAATTTATAGGTTCCTGGATATTTACCTCCACCGCAACCTCCTACATCTCAAACTCCGGGATCGTCTAGTTCTGATAGGCCTCCTTCTGGCCCTGCAATTGACACTATCAAAAAGGAACTACCAGACTTTGGTGGGTCAAATACAAGTAGATCAAGCGCCAGTCCTGCGCAACCTAATAGTGAAAAGTGCCTCACACCAAAAACTAGTAGTACCCCTACGCCCCAGGTTTGTTTAATAATGATTATTTTTTATAATTTTTATAACCTTATATGTAATTATTATTAACTAATTTAGTGCTGTTTTACATGGGGCGGACTTTCCATGCGGACCATCCTAAACAGTCTTAAGTCGAAAAAAATATATATTTTTTTTTCATTTATAGTCTGTCCAACAATAGGGATTTTGACATGCATCAAATATACAACCAACATTAAAATGGCATAAAACTACCACTGTCATAAATTATCTTGCTTCACATACTTTAACACCAATTAAAACAAAAATTGGTCTAAATTTTTGACATCTTGATTTTTCTTTATTGGAGGTTTTTTTGTTTATTATAGGTTATTTCGCAAACACCTCCTCTTCGCCAGCCTCCATCCTCTCCTCATTCAGCTATTAATTTGATCAGTCCGAGCAGCAGTACCGGAAGTATAGGAGGCGGACCACCCTCGCATCCGCCCGTGTCATTGCCGGCACCGCCTAGTCAACCTCACCCATCCTATCCAAGTATGCCGCCACCTCATCTGATGCATCCTTCGTTTTTACACGTAAGTAATTTAAGGTTGCGTTAATCTAAGTAATCTGTCAATTATTTTTTTATATTTTTAGTTCCATGGACATCCTGGTTATGCGGCATATCCATTTGGACCTTACTCTTACCCATATCCGGTGCCGCAACCGCATGCCATACCTCCTCCTTCGTCACGAGCAGACTTGGTCTGCCCACCAAAAAGTATTGACACGGTAGGATTATTAAATTATCAGCATCAATTACATTATTGTAGTTTGAAAAAAACTTTATAGCTTCATTCAAAACCTCGCGATTAGTGGAATAATTAGTGGTTTCAATTAGCTTAGAAGTTTGTTCTTTTAATATCAATGTAAGCATTCAGAACGTCAAAATAAGTGGTAGTCATTTTCAATTGGTAGAAAAAGTTATCAAACTTTTAACTTTTCCACTAATTATACTTCAAAATACTGCAAAAATCGTCATTTTAGCCTTTGATTATCATCCGGCAAAAGAAATTGTGGTTAGAAATCAAAAGTTGATTGTTTTATAAGCTAAAGATTAGGCTCTCTCTATGGAAATAACTGATTACCGCAAGCTGTTGCTAGGATATTCTATTAATTTTAATTGTGTTTTTTAAACATTGTGAATGATCGTAAACTAAAAAGTATAAAGTGTAATTGAAACCACTAATTGACGAGATTCTGAATGAAGCTTATGTAACAACGACAATTTTTAGGTGAGCGCTACTGTAATGTCTGCGCAACATAGTACAAGTAGTACATTGACCACCAAACGAGAAACGAGAGAGCCAGATGAGCATGGCAGAGAGAGGCACCAAAGTCATGAAATGACATTGACACATCATCAAAGTACATCGCTTAATAGGTTATATAACGATAAAATTGTCATATTGGTATATGTTGTAATAGAGATATTATAATTTAGTTCAATACATGCCAGTGTAGAGAAGCAAGACTATGGAGGAAGCAGTCATAGTATTACAATATCTCATAGTACAAGTACCAGTTCAAGTCAATCTGTTCAGCACAAAGTTAACCAAAAGACTGTTCGAACAAGTTCACCTCACAGTGGGGTCTCTCAAACTACAATCCAAACAAATAGCAGGTAAATATATTGCATTAAGAGTACATTACGCTGTACAGTCCGGGTCGCTCTCAGGGGCCGGGTAAAGCGGGTGTGTGGCCGAATGAAATATATATTATATTTCAGAAATCTGCTTAAGGCTTAGCCCAATCTTGTTGTGTTAAGCCACACTCAAAATTCCAAACACACGTGCTTTGATTAAGGTTTGCAGAGCATTTGCCATAAAATAGCGAGCAATTTGTTACAAAACCAATTTATATATCACTGTAATCACAAAACTTCAACCTATTTCCGTATTGAAACGGAATTTTAAATTGTCTTTATTTTTGAGAAAATTTAGTCCAAACATAAGGAATATTTTGATGATGTTGACCATCAAAATCTTAAAAATAAAGAAGTTGTCTAAAATGTGCTACAATACAGATATAAATTAATCCTTTATCTTTAATTTCCTTCTTCATTTGTGTAAAAATACCTAGTCAGTTTTATATAAAACGTTAAATGCCGAACCCGTATTTTGCTACTTTTTCGGACTAGTGAAATGGACTCTTAAAAGAAAAATAGAAATAACCTATTACAAAGATTTAATTGGATTTGTTATGTGTAACACAAACATTTTTGTTCAGTACCAGTTCAGGCGCACCATCACACCAACATACCCACCATCACACTCATACTCATCATGACAGAATGTCACCAAGCAGCGCATTGTTAAGGCATGGACTTCACTCTAAACCACCTCCAGGAGGGCCACAAACAAATCCTCATCATCTTATGATACAACCTCCTAATATGGGTCATCATCCTGGATCATTAGGTAAGATCTATAAAATTTATTTACGTTTCTATTATTTAAAACTGATGTCTTATTACAGGTCCCCCACCTATGACAGGTAGTTCATTGGATGCTCTTAGAGCGCATGCAGCTCAAGCGGCTGCTAATATTCAACAGCAGCATCAGCAGCAAGGAGCTATGCATCCTCCAAGTACATCGCCAATGAATCCTCCTAATAAACTAATATCCGATGAAGTTGTTAAAATCGAACCAGACCCTGAATGTTCGCCGGAAGAAGATAACCAGAGTAGTCCAATTGGCCCGCCTAGAGGGCCGTCGCCAGAACCAAGAATAGAAGATACTGAGTGTCACAGAAGCCAATCTGCGATTTTCCTTAGGCATTGGAATAGGGGAGAGCATAATTCATGCACAAGAACTGATCTAACGTTTAAGCCTGTTCCAGATTCGAAATTAGCAAGGAAAAGAGAGGAAAGGTGAGCATATCTTTAATATAATATGTATATGGCGTGTATATAGTATGTCCAATGATAGAATGCAACTAGTAACAGTTGTTTCATTTTTAACTAGTCTGTCAAATTAATATACAGTGTACAGATAAAGTTCGCATTATATGCGCCTGTTTTAAATAAATGATTTTAGGTGAAATTTAAAAATACTAAGGGTTGGCAAAGGTTAGTTTTGGGTCCGTATGTAAGAAGAGTACAATGCGTTTATAATGTACTGAACAAAGAGAGAACAGTAAACACGTTGCCAGACGTATAAAATAAACCGAGAAACCGTGCACCGAGAAACATCAGCACAATCAGTACTGATCAGTACTTAAAATTCTTGGAAAGGGTGTACATCATGCGTTCAGCTTTACGATTTAATTACGTCTCGTGATACTTTATTTGTTTATTTATTAATGAGTCGTAATTTTCCCTATAGCTTTTAAATTTTTAAGTGCAAGTTAGAAACACTTGCATTTTTGGTAAAAAATAAGTGGAATTGAGTTGGTGTTCGACAGTGGTCGCGCCATTAGAACTCTGAATTCAAAAATCGATATCTCGAAATCCATTAGAAATAATTGATTGTAGTTTGATTTTTTCAAAAACTTTCTTAATATTTCAGCTATATTTTCTTCGAAGTCCGTATGGAAAATCTTTATAAATAAAAAAGTTACACAATTGCTGAAAATCGCTATGCGCTGAAAGTAAATGGATGTTTTTTTTAATTTTTGAATGGAAAAAGTACAATCCTATCGAATTTTTCTTATTTAAACATCTTGTAAAAGATCCGAACTTCAGAATAAAAAAAAGTTTCAATATCTAAAGTGGTTCTTAATTTTTCGCGTATTATGTGTTAAAAAGTTTAAATTATCCAGATTACTGACGTTTTTGGTTAAAAAAAAAGGACACCCTAACGATATCCTTATAATTCCAATTCAGTTTCTCAGGAACATATCTAATGATTTTATCTAGTTAACTTTTCGAAAGAAAAGTCTTTTAAAAATAAGCGGTTTACAATCGTGATTTTACTTTACTTGCCTTGGTGGTAATGCCGCAACAGCACACCGTCGCATTTCTCTCACTCTGACTTAATATGAGATCCCTATGCGATTTATACTTCCACACATGTAAAAATAGAGACCCTAAAGTAATAGTTGCCAGCACGGTATAAATAGTTATTTATAATAAAAAGATAATGTAATTGTAATAATATAAATATAATAACAAAATTCTAAAACGGGATATTTACATTTTTCTAGACTATTTGTAAAATTATTTGTTAATATTGATCCTTTTGTATATTTATTTATTACTTTTTCCATTTGAAATTTTGTTTTATAAACATTGGTTCAAATATTTACTGACATAGTGAGGCTTTTGTTGAAGGTGCCAATTTTATTAAATCTATTTTTAATTCATTTTAAAACCAAAATTAACGTCAAAGTCAAACTTCACCTAAATCAATTACTAGAAAAATTCCATTAGATGCGTACTATACTGTGTAATGGGTTAAACATTTACTGAATATCAGATTCTTATACAGGTTGAGAAAACAAGCTGAGCGTGAACGCGAAGAAAGAGAAAGAGCTCAAGCACAAGCAAGGAAAATTCAGACTCCGGACAAAGCAGATATTAAGCCACCTTCCAGGTAAATCCATAAAAATATTCATACAGTTCAATTTCTGAAATTATGTTTTTGAAAATAACAGTTTAAAAATAAAATTAACTTGATATTTAACAGTTATGGGGCATCGATATCGGGTATTAAGGGACAACTTTGACAACAACTTTTTTATTTTGACAACTTTGACAGATATAGTGCCAATAAGTTAGCGCTTGCCGGAATTTCCGTAAAGAATACGCCATGCGGTATTTTGACATTGAATCGAAAACGTTAAGTTGCCAAATGAGATATTGTTATCAAAATGTTAGCAAATCTAAATTTGCTAACATTTGAGGTACCGGGTGGCCAACTAAGAATGGACGCCGGCTGTATCTCAGAAACTACTTATCGTATAACTTTGGGAAAACAATTCTAATAAGTAAATCGACCAAAAGAAATCGCTGGAAATTATTTTCAAGTTCGAAAAATGTCCGGTAGGGGGCGTTTCTCTGGTAGCCAATCAGAAAACAGGGTTTTTCTCAGAAATATGCAGGTGAACAGGTATTTTAAATATTACTATTGTAATCATCGAGAAATTTTTAATTTTTTTGATATGGAGTGTTTTGCTCTATCTCTTAAAATAAAGTGGTGGGGGAAGGTTAAACTTAGTTTTATTAAAATAAGGATAACTCTGGTTTGGGTTACCCGATTTAAACTAACTAGGGCTCGTTTAAAAGAGCTTTTCTTCCTTAATGATCTTCAGTATAAATTTTGTTTCTATAATTTTTTCCGTGGTAGCTAGAGGGCGCTGTTTGACATCATAACATTTATTGCGCTTTTGCATAAAAGAGAGAACAAATCATGTTAGGCTGCCGCTTAGAACTATATGGTTTTAAAATTATAGTAGTAGGCTAGGAAACAAAAAGAGGTAAATTAGTTCAAAAGTTAGTCAAAATATCAAAAAGTTTAAGTTCAGTTTTCATGCATTCGAATTTCGGGCGTTTTCTAAAAAAAATGATGTCATAAATATTTAAACGTGTTTATATATCATCCATCCATATAATTTTGCAAATTTCTTGGTTAATTATACGTAATTAGTTCTCAGATTAAAATGTCCGAAAGTCGGACAATCAATAATTTTATTAAAATTTCTAGGAATTTTGTGCCGCCATATTGCTTTTAACAGAAAACGGCCGAATTTCGTATGGTCGAAAGCTAGGGGTATATTTCATGTAACGTCATTTAGTTATTAATCCAAGTTCGTCCTTGATTTCACTTGTTTTCGTGTTTTACCTGTTGTTTGTGTTATTTATTATTACATTATAAAGTTTATGTCGTTTGTGTCACTTTTCATATACCACCAAAAGTGTGAATCTTAACAATATGCACTACTGGTCCAAATCTACTCTTGATGCAAGTAGTTCGGCACCAAGACCGTTGGTCGGTAAATGTTTGGCAGGAATTCTAGGATGGCGAATGATTGGACTTTTTTAACGGAACGAAATGAACTATCCATAATGTCTAAGAAATGAATTGCCAATTTTGTTAGGGGATCCATCATGATGAAATTGCGTTTGTTGCAATTTCATCAGCATTAATGCGGTTGATGTAGTTGATGCAGTTGGTGCAATTGTGCCGCCTATTTTGCTATTATTGTGTGGGGCTTCTTGGATACCACTTACTTTAGTAGATAGAGACGCTGGAGCGGCATATTTCCATGGCCAGCTAGGTAATCGGATTCAATATGCCTGAGTTTTAATGCTATGGGGTCGAATCAAGAACGAACATGGATAAATTATAATAAAACTATTAAATGGTATTAAAATGAAATTAAAATGTATGTTTTGATATTTTGACGTAACCAATTTACCTCTTTTTGTTTCCTAGCCTACTACTATAATATGTAGGCCATATAATCCTAAGCGGCACCCTAACATGATTTGTTCTCTTAATATCTCCGGTTAGAGACAAGATAGAAAGTTGCGGTTTGCGCTGATATTTTGGAAATTTTGTGCTCTATTTAACTGTGCACGAGAAATATTGCCTCCTATTTAATTTTTTTATGCAAAAGCGCAATATCTGTTATGATGTCAAACAGCGCCCCCTAGCTACCACGAAAAAATTTATAGACACTAATTTATACTGGAGATCATTAAGGAAGAAAAGCTCTTTTAAACGAGCCCCCGTTTGTTTAAATCGGGTAACCTAAATCAGAGTTATCCTTATTTTAATAAAAGCATGTTTAACCTTCCCCCACCACTTTATTTTAAGAGATAGAGCAAAACACTCTATATCAAAAAAATTAAAAATTTCTCGATGATTACAATAGTAATATTTAAAATACCTGTTCACCTGCATATTTTTCAGAAAAACCCTGTTTTCTGATTGGTTATCAGAGAAACGCCCCCTAGCGGACATTATTCGAACTTGAAAACAATTTCCAGCGACTTCTCTTGGTCGATTTACTTATTAGAATTTTTTTCCCAAAGTTATACAATAAGTAGTCTCTGAGATATAGCCGGCGTCCATTCTTAGTTCGCCACCCGGTACATTTACTACATACAGAATTTATTATTTAAGGTTTAATATTTTTTATCACTCATAACTGTCAAAATTAATTAATTAATAAAAAGTTATTAAAACTGAAAACCAGTGAATCGGAAAATTGAGAAATTACAAGTTAGGTTAAGATATAGTTTACAGATTGTCGGGCTTCAAAAATCATTAACGCTATTTCGTGGTGCCATAACTGGAAATTAGACAGACGTAAATGTCAAATTAATGTCTAATTGATATTAAATTCCCATTCCCTATACTTTGTTTTCTATACCATTTTCAGAGGACCTTTGGAGAGCATATCGGGACCCTATGAACGGTTTCCAAGGCCAGGATTTACTGACACGCCAGCTTTGAGACAGTTGTCAGAATATGCTCGTCCCCATGCTGGGTTCAGTCCAGGCCATATGCCTAGGTACCTAAAGAAAATATTAAGCCAGCAAAAAACGTATTAAAAGGCATCTTTATTTAAGGTCATTACTACCCACATCTGTGATGGATCCCATGCTCCAGTACCAGCTGAGTATGTACGGGCCAGGTGCACGCGAAAGATTAGAATTGGAGCACTTGGAAAGAGAGAAGCGTGAAAGGGAGATCAGGGAATTGAGAGAAAGAGAACTCAATGATCGGTAAGAACATTTTAAGCCTTCTTATTTTATTTCATTTTGTAAGAAAGTTCTAATATCATGCATTTTACATTGCATTTGATTCTTAATTCTTATTTTTTACAATGAGTAGTTTGTTTGTGGTCTATAAAAACTCTAGTAAATACATTAGAAGTAAATTTCTATAGTCTAATTCACGGAAATAGTCGATATAGTCTGTCCAACGGGAGGAGCCCTGATAGTGACAGTCGTGTCTTGTTTTAATTCACAGGCAAATCCTATTTTCTGTCATTTTTTGAATGTCGTCTGTCGAAATATTCCCCGAGTTGTTGAACAGACTATACACGAAATATTTTAACGATTTTAGAAATGCTGCTTCACTATATCTTTTGAGGCTATTATAAAAATAAATCGCATGGTAACCTAATTAATCCCCTTTACGTTTAGCTTAAAAGAAGAGATAATGAAGACGGGAATGCGAGGGCCTCCCAATCCCGTAGATCCGCACTGGCTTGAAATCCAGCGACGCTACGCTGCGGCGGGTCTTGCTGGTCCACCGGGCGGTCCACCTAGTTTATTACCTCATCATTTTGCTTTGTATCCAGGAGGTAGCGCTGCTCAGCTGTCCCAGATGGAAAGAGAAAGGTAGGTTTTATTGTTATAGTTCTGTACAAAGGTCTAAATAGTAGGTTTCGTTGAGAGAGGTGTTTTTTAAGGCAGATTGATGACGATATTTGGAATTTGTGTTAATTATTACAGTCAATATTTATAGTTTAATAACGATAATGCCATGTTCGAAAAAAAAACGGCGTCAAAGACTATTGGGTAAAGACAGAATAGAATTAGAAAGAAAAGCAAAATAAACTTGTCTGGATTTTTTTTTTAAGTATTCCTAAATATTTTGTTTATAGGCTTGAACGTTTGGGTATACCACCTCCAGGAGGGCCAGGTCCTTCAGGGCCCCCTGGTCATCCCCATCATCCCGCCCACGCTGCAGCGCAACTAGAAGCTGCGGAGAGATTAGCCTTAGCGACTGATCCCATGGTAAGTGTCACAATAAAGAGTCGATGTCTTATAACAGTTTTAAATTAGAAGTAGGGAAATGTTAACGTTGCCTAATTTTTTATTGCTTCTGATTAGTACCTATCTATATTATCAAGTCGTTTTCTACGTGTTGTTGAAGGTACGGCTGCAGATGGCGGGGATTTCTCCAGAGTACCATGCGCACACGCACGCTCACACTCATGCCCACACGCATTTACACCTACATCCGCAACAGCAGCAAGCTCAACAGGAAGCGGCAGCAGCGGCTGCAGGATTTCCCTTGCCAGGTATGTTATTTTCTTTGCCATATTAAATTATACTTCTTTACCAAAACAACTAACTACTTTGAATATTTAAAATGCTAAAAAATGCAGTTTTTTATACCGGAGTTTCTGGAATCTTGCAAGGGATATCTTTTTTTTTCTCAATGTATTTAGAAATGGGGTTTTCTTGAATATATTTTCTATCACCACTTTAAGTAATCCAGTAGCGACACGTACAGTTTAGAACAGATTCTATAACTTTAGTGTCATATTTGCATTATGGTTTGGCAACGATCGTTTGTAAAATAAAAAAAAATAGTTCAGTTAAACAGAACAATAACATTTTACTAATAAAAATGAAACAATATTATCTGTAAGGCGTTTTTGGCGTTATGAATGAATCCATCCAACTTTTACGATTCATAGTAAAATGTAGAATGAATGGGAGGGGGGGGGTTAATCCCTGCGACATTAAAGATGTATTGTGGCCCCCTTCCTTGAGTTATAACTCATCATACAGTCTATAACCCGTCATACATGTTGTAGGGGGACAGGGTATTTCCCATCCTCCTCTGACAACAGATATTCTTCCTCCGAGCGATACACCCTTCCACGATTGTCTCCATTTTCTCCGCCTCTTTAACTTGGTCTCTCCATAGAGATCAGGATATATCCCTCTTTCTCTATTGCCTACTTGAATTTGAGGTCAATTCCTATTTTGATGACCTAACCACAACCCTCCGCCCCCCGAGTTGAGAGATTCCTTTGAATAAAAAGATTAAGGAAGGAGCATAATGCTATCCATGTATTCATGCATGGTGGGCGGAAAAAGGACTCTAGGGTGGGGATCCTTGACAGTTCTGTTTGACGATTCATTTGACACATTTGAATTTGATTTAAAATTTTGTGGATTTCTCAGTCTTTACGGAACTTATTTTATGTTATTTATTATTTATTATACTACTGATAGTTGTATAAAGGTAGTAAATCTAGATGGAAATTGTGGCAGAATTTAAATTAACAGTGACACTATTGCGATTTATCGAAAAAGACTGTAAAATAGTTGGTTGTGTAGCGTGCGGTAGATCTCTGTCAAAGATCGAGTGAAATAATGGAACAACTTTTCGCTAGTAAGTGACTATAATATATGTACATACGTGTAGTAAACCGATCATTTATGAAATTCACTTAAATTAACTAATTATGTATTTTTTCTTGCATTTTTGCTTTTATTTACTACTTGTCAAAGATTAGATGTCAAAGAATTTAGATACGTCAATTTGATTTACCTAGTTCAGTAGCGTATCGGATGTTTGTGTTAATAAATAATTATTATAACTTATCTATTTTTATTAGAATTTTATATTTTTATAACAATTTTAATAACTGCCAACATTTATTCACAACGTAAAATAAAACAACAAATTATTGAGTCTACCCCACGTCTACTCTATATCATAGTTTTACACTTTTTAAATAAAATTAGAACGGCACCGATAAACCGGAATTTAAGTCGGCCATATTTGAGTCCCTTCGCGGTTTTTTTATATGATCCCTAAAGATTTTTGATATGCTCCTTCCTTAATCTTTATATTCAAAGAGAGATTCATAGTAAAAACATCGTAGAAACTAAACAGTGTTCCTCAAGCAGCGTTGTCAGAGTTCCTTCCCTAATAAATTTTAATTTAATTTGATTCAAGAATAAAAATAATTTCAAAGGTATACTTTATTTATATATTTTAACTAAAAATGATCAACCTACACATATATTTAGTAGACCGTTTCTATAAGTGCCTAAAAATCGTTTATTACAATAATAACGTACAATAATAACGTACTTCGTTTTCAAACACAAGCCGTAGATCTAAAGCAATCCGCAGAAATCTGTTATCGATTTTTGTTGAAAAAGATGTTTGATCAGGATAAAATGTAATTTTGTCTCTTTTAAGTTATATGTCGTTGATATCAAAACATAATTTGAAGTATATATTTTCATTGGGATAGAAGTAAATAAGTTAGCATTATATTAAATAATTGTAATTGTAACACTATCTGTTATTTCATTTTAGCATCAGGGACGCCTGGTTATCCACGGCCAGGCTTAATACCTGGTAGAGATGGCCCTCTTGGTTTGCATCACCCTGATCTTTTAGGAAGACCTTATGCAGACCAGCTTGCACATCAGGTAACTACCTAAACTAGGACATACAAAATTTAAATTTATTTTGAGTTGCATAAATTGGTATATTATTCGGTAATACAACAAAAATGTTCATAGTTTCCTACAAAAAAAAATTGGCAACCAAATTTTAAAACTGTAAAATATGGGATATGGAATAGAAAAAAAAATCTTCATTTCATACATATTGCAAAATTATCTTAAAAATAATTAAATTTATGCTAAAACAAAAACTTATTAATGATAAGTTTATAATTCAAATATGAATTTATAGTCAATGCTATATCTTAACAAATGTATATTTTGTTCGAAAGGCTGCTGCCCACGAACAGCTACAAAGGCAGATGCTGTTAGAAAGAGACAGATTTCCTCCCCATCCCTCGATTGTTGCCCAACACGAGGAATACTTAAGGTCCGTTCTAGTCACTTCTAACTCATAAACCATTTAATCCCTTAATAATATCACTTATTTTGATTTTACTTAACAATATTGGTTTGTGGGGTTTTACTGGCTTTGGTAGAAGATATTATTTAAAATTTAGAACTCTTTCAGTTTTACGTAGCTTAGTAATTTCTGCCATAATTTATTTTTATTGTTTCTATATTTTCAATAATATCTTTTATAGGAATAATTAGCATAGATAATTGCCGCTAAAAGTATCAGCTTTGCTTTCATGTTTAATTTGTTTTAGTCTTTTCATTCCGCTTTTTTGTTGTAATGTGTAGTTTATTATAATTTTATAAAACGATTTTATTAATTTAATAACAATTGCAATTTTTATTATTTTTGGAATAGATATTCTCAATCCATAAGTATTTATGCATTGATTTGTGAAAATTGTATATTGGATAATATCCCCACTTCAATATATTAACGTTCGTCGATACATAATTTTCTATAAACAATGAAACTTTTTTTATTTTGAATGAATATGTATTTCGATTCTTATTTTTACTTATTTTTCAAGAACATAGCTAATTTCGAAAGAACAACCCTTGGTTATGGTTGACAGATAAACAATGCTTTAAACGTCAGTTGTCTACCGATTGGTTGACAACTGACGTTTAAAGCATTGTTTGTCTGTCAACCATAACCAACGATTGTTCGCTCGAAATTGGCTTATCTATAATACCTTAGCGACAATTTGAAAACACATCTCAAATAAGGATAGAAGTAAATTTTATATTTTTGTTACTAAAGTTATATTTTTGGCTTACTTTATGTAAAAAATACGTCTAATCTCGTTCTAGTTTCATTTACAATATTCCTTTAAATGATCCAAGTAAAGAAATGCGGGGCAGTTTAGATATCTGGTAAATTCGAGATACATATTATCTTGCTGTTGTTGAAGAACAGCATGTCCTAATAATAGTAGTTTTCGCATTTTAGGCAGCAAAGAGAGCGCGAACTTAAAGTGCGGGCGCTGGAAGAAGCGGCTCGAGGGTCAAGACAGTAAAATAAATTGGTAAGTTGCATTTTTATTCAATTTGTAATATGATATACATATCAATTTACTCAAACAATGATATAGTATGGAATTATTTTATAAAAATGCAAAGATTTTAATCTTTATAATTTGTTTTTTTAATATTATCTCATACAATATTTTTTTTCTCCTATATAATAACAATGTAGTGTGATACAACTTCCTAATTTATTGTCTCTTAAAAATATAATTCAAGTGACATTCTCTTCACCAGTAGTTGCCACACTGTATACTACTGGTAGAGGTTATAAAATGATTTATTATCCCTTGACGTTTCATTTCTAACTTTAAATATAACTATCGGAATCATATCGAATCGAAAAATAATAGAATATTTATTTTTTAAAATTGAATTTGTTAGAAGTCATGAATTTAATAGGTTTTTATAATTATCTAAACACAGCATACTAAATCCATTTGTTTCCATAAAATAACATTTGTCTATTCATATTTGCTTCATAAGTAATTTCACGCACGAGTCATTACAAGATCACTAGCTTTATGTTGAATGTTTTCGTTTGTTTTTTGTAAAGAGGTATATTTGTCTTGTGTTTTTTTTTTCTAAAAATATCTATCTAAAAAATAATAACTAAAAACAAATTGTATTGTATTTGTATCTTATTAGAGGAAATAAGTTTTGATAGAATTATAAGATAAAAGTTTTAAATAAGGCCACTGGGGAAATATTATTTAAGATTTTTTCGATTTTTGTCTACCCCCACCTTTTTAAGAGTTATAGAGAATTTGTTGCCATGGCAGCTTGTATTACATTATGTCAAGATTCATTTTTTCGTTATAGAGTATGCTGAAGGTACTCCGCATAAAGGCTTGATTTTCATGCGTCCATTATCCGTTGATACGATGCATGGTCCGACGGCGCTCTGATTGGTCATAGCGTTTTCGCGCCACTTTTCATTCGTAATTTTTTTTACTTCAGCCCGCCAATGGGTAGTACGATAACGGACGTTTTGACACTTTTTGGCAAATTTAATCTAATCTTAATAAAAGTATATTAGTACAAGAGCTAGCAACGTCAGGATAACGAGAATTTTAAGAAAGTTTTTAAGAAGTTGGTTCTTTAATATATGTTTTGCTATGCTCTCGCCTGACGAAAGTGCGGGCCATCTGGCTGCTGGTAGATTACTGCGATTCCAATTTTCGTGTGTTTTATGGGATTTCTCGTTTATGAGTTGAGATACAGTGATGCGATTTTTACATTATTTTGCACACAGTCTATACCAGCAATGGGCATGTTTCATGTTTTTCAATTTCTACGTAATTATGCAGATTTCAACCTAATTAGTGCTTGCTACTTAGCCTTTTTAATATAAAACTTAATATTATGCCAAAAAATGGGGTACAAGTTTGAATTTCCCACTTACGCGCGCTACGATGACGTGTGTAGCCCTCGCCAATATGATTGGCTGGTTTTCGTCTCGAAATAAACTTGGTGAATTTTATGATGTTGGAAGCATTGCGGTTTATTCAATGTCAAAATGACATTGTTTACAATTGTTTATTTTTGATTTTAAATTAAATTTGCATTTAAACTATTTCCAATAATGCTAAAAAATTAATTGTTCTATTGTTGGATAACATTTACCAGTAACTATAATAAAATGGTTTTGTACGCGCCGAAAAAAGATGGAAAATCGTAAAAATGCTGTTTGTTTCAGAAAACTTCTCTTAAGTTATGAATGTGATTTCAAAACATTTCAAAGTGAGTTTATATTATGTTTGATTTGTTAAATCATTAATGGCCTGTTTTTTACATGTGGAAGAAGGTGGGGAAAAATTAATTTGAAAAAAATGTAATTCCTTATAACCAAGATTAATAGTATTTCCGGAAAATCACAGTATTCACAGTTATGGTATAAAACAGGTACGCTACAATCTGATCATGAAAAGTACGTCATGTATCTGACCAAGAAAAGTTAGAGAAGATGAACAAAGCAATTAGAAAAATTCTATTGGCACCAAGAATGTTAACAAATACCTTCATGGTTAAGTTATTTCAGAAGACTATTAATAAAATACATTGTATAGATAAAATAAGGCTCTAATGCAGTGCCTTTTTACATAAAATCAAGTAAATATTTTATTTTAAAGTTTTGTTATTAAATGTATTAATATGTGATAAATAATGTTTATTATATAAGCATAAGATATTATTTTTTAAGAGTGTTATATATATCAGGAAGATTTGAAAGAAACATACATTGTGTATTACATATACATATTTTATTACTTTTTAAATTTATTAAATTAAAAGGCAAGTAAATATAAAGTGTTTTAATTACAATATTGTAATAATTTACATTTTGATGGTGATAAGACTTACTGAATATCAGGGCAGTCAATTTACAATTAACCAAGATACAAGAACATAAAATATAAATATGATGAGAAGGCAAGAATGGCAATAAAAGTTGCTAGAAAGTAAGATGTTATCTTCCTTTATTCTACATAAATCATAGCGTGGTACCTTTCTTGATATTATTTGTTATGTATGAAATAATGTTTACATGCCGCCTAAAATTAAAATATAAATAGATAAATAAAAACCTACATATTTAGTTACAATTTAAAAATCACTAGTGTTAGCTGCACAGCTTAAAAATTTAGTTCCCTCCACTTTCTGTATACTTTTACCATTGCAGTCACCAATGACTAAAGAATCCAAGGACAAATAACACCCGACAGCAAATTGTGACGCTGGCATCAAACAGTGCCGTGGCACATATTTTTCTTAACCTAGCTGTTTGAAGCAATATTTATATTTTTTGATAATTGTTTTGACTACGCCTATGGTGTATCATCCTAACTAATTACGAAAAAAACGTTCTTCAAGAAAAAAAGTCTCACCTTGATATTTTAACTTCTTGATATCAGCACTTAAGTATTTTAAATTGTCTATATAAAAACTGTCCACCATATACTCCGTCACCGTTCGAAAATGATCCGAAAAAGTTTTTTCATAGTTTTGAGCCATTTAGATAAAATTAAAAGTTATAACCAAGAAAATTTACCGCTGAACTGAAAAGCGCGAAGAAAAATAATAACAAAATCCAAAATGGCTGTGCATGATACGCATGAGCCATGCAATCAGTCATACCAACATATGATATGAAACTTCCCTTTCTACGATCTGAAACTTGATTGGTGAAGGCTATGTACGTCACAACTCAACCGGGAACGTTCAAGTTTGAAATTATAATTTAATTTCTAAAATTATATCGTGGAATTTTTCCTAATTTCCTATGTATTGTAAGTAATGAAGACTTAATCTATGCAATACAATGATTTATTTGCGAATTTATGTTTTTTGGAACATGCCCATTAATTGTGTTCCTAAAATATTTGCCATTTTACATTTTCAATATAAAAGGAAAAATAGTTGCATTAACAAATAGATAAAACCTATTTAACTGTATTACATAATATTAATAAAAATGATTGTTTATTTTTATTAATAGATTAACTAGAAAAATACGAATTTTAATTAATTCTGTTTCAGATATTATTATATGGGCCAAAGTTTTAATACGCTGGACATCAGAACTATGGGACATTTTACGTCCCAGCACAAAATCGGAAGAGGATGACCGACAGAGAATAAAAATATGAAATATATCACGTTCGACTTTCGTAGTAATTTTAAAATAAAATATAAAATATATTTCAGAATTATATAGAATCTTAATTTTTTAAAATATATTTTGCAATTGATTAGAATAAAGTTTTGTATACTGCTGTGGTTGTTAGATTTAACGTAATTTATTATGAAAATAGTATTTATTAAAATGCAGAAATAATAAAAAGAAATGTATTCAGAGAAGCTTTAACATTTTTTCTTAATATAAGTAAGTTTACAATGTCAAAATATGAGCTCATTTTTGACACCCATATTTTTAATGGCGGACTTATGATAAAGTTAATTTGCGTGTTATATAATTTATTTTTCAGTCGAATATTTTTATTTAAAAAGATTCAAGATTAAATCTATAGCTATAGCTTTATACAATTTCCAGTAAAAGAAAAGGAAACACAAGTTTGAGTTTGTATGCATAAATAGTTAATTTTTTAAAATCTAGCAAATCAATATTTAAGACTGTATCTTCAAACAAATCAAATATTTTAATTTACTGGAATTCGTTTTTTTATCTAATCTTTTTACATGGACATTGCTTTTAGAGCCATATTTTGACAATTCATTTATAGAAATATATTTTTAGAGAACTTAGACCTCAAAAAGGTATCACTTGTAAAAATGTATTATCAATTTTTAAAAATATTTTACTAAAAATACATAATCATTGAAAATGTGTACTTTATTTTTCTGCATTCAGTGTATATATTATCTAATTTCATAATTAAGTAATAATTACAATATTACTTTGATATCGTTTTATAGCAATACATCTCAAATTAAATTTATTGTATATTTGTTTGTACATTTTTTTGTATCAAATGTCTTATTATGTCAAACAGCAATGTAAGTATTTCGTCTTAAGTAAAACTTGTCATCGTCTTTTGACATCAATTTAACATATATAATAGTAGATATAATATTGATCCAATTTAAAAAACTTTATTTGAAAAAGCTGTCTTTTTTTGCACAAGTCTCTGGGATAATTTTTTTTGTTAAGATTGCACGCGAAATACCCGACCGATTTTCGTTTATGCGCGTGTAGAACTGCGAAATTAACGGACAACAAACGCAACATTGTTGAGTATGCGAGTTGACTAGTGGGACATAGAAGCTAGTACAAATTTGTTGTATGTCACATTTTGTCAAATTTGGTGTATTCTGGCTATCCTAAAAATTGCGTAACTCAATCTACCTTCATTCCTGATTTATTTATTTAAGTTGTTTGGGCGCAATACAGGGTGTTCCTTAATGGAATGCTAATATTTAAGGGGGTGATTGTTGGGCCTATTCTAAGAAAAAAACTTCATATGAATGTATGTCTTAAACATCTTAATTTTTCAAATATACGCATGGTTTTGATTTTTAATGAGAAAAAATTTACTTCTGGGGTCAAATAAATTTATATACTAGGGTCGTAATATCTAGGCTTGGGTTCCGATTTTCGTGTGCGCGAAGAGTATGGTCAACAGGCTCAGTAAAATTAAGATGTACTGAATAAAGAAAGAAGAGCAAGTATTTTCTCAAGCATATGGAATCTAGTGTCGAATTAACAGGTTATGTAATAAATACTTCATATTTTTGCTCTCTCCGACTTACTAGATTCTACGACTTGCTAGATCGCCATAGCGATTCACTCCTACACATGTAAACGCCAACCCAAGGTTTCGCTTACCAGGATGGTATACAGATTGTTAACTGGACAGTTACTTATAGGGGAACAATGGCAACACTGCCTATTGAGAACGCATGCACTTATAGGGTTTTCTGCCGACGACGAGCGGGCCGAGGTTGCCATATTTCAACCATAAAGCTCTTGCCGCGAGTAATAAACCAATTAACAACCTGTATCTGCTTTTAATGCAATTAGTCTATAGCACACAAAACGGCATATATCAAATATTTAATTTTTTATGAAAAATAGGAAAACTTGATTGAAATTTTATAACTTTTGCTATAAAGTTAAAGCACCAAATTTCTAACCGTTTTCTCACAGTAATCGTTTCTCTTGGGCCAAACTTTTAGAACTGCGTTTTTGTCAATTACATATTTTTAAGATACGCCCCTTTATATGCAAGGCGATGAGGTAAGTGTACGAATTTACAGCTATTTAGGTTAAAACAATGATTCATTTTTAACAAATAGTAGCCGTAGCTTCTGGCTGAAGCAAAAATAACTAATTGTAGTCCGTTTTTTGTCAAATATTTCTCTACTGCTATAGTCATATACCATATGTCGAAAAAAAAACGGTGTCCAGTTTGCTTTTAAATGAACATCGATGACATTCTCTATATAATTTTACATATAAAATGACGGCGATCTTTATTTCATAGCCATCGTTGACGCCGTTTTTATTTCAACCATATGGTATTTACTTAGTTAAATGTTTTTATGTATAAAGAAAAGTTAAAGCAATAGTTAACGTCAAATTCGATTTTTTTTAATAGTATATTTTAAAAAGAATTAAGTCGAAATTGTATAAAATCTATAATTAAAGAGTGGAAATACCAACGGGGTAAGCCAAATTTTTCAATATTAAGTTATTGCATTTAGGTCGGTTTTACACGCTATGAGAAATGCTAGCAATTAATCGTAACGATCGAATTGTTTCGATTTATCGTTGGGTATAAACAGGATATTGTAGCGATTTATTGGAATTGAAGTGATGATTGATGCTCTCCGGCATCAATTTCTGCGAATCGTAACGATGTTTGAACGTCTAAACAAGTTGCACCGCATTTCTCGTTACGATGTCGTTCGGTTTATGTTTTCCATTGTTGTTTCATCGGGTTTTGTGTATACATCGAGAATAGGTATGGCAGGCAATTCAAACAGACAAACTCTTCGAGAGTTCTTGAGTGAATTTATAGAACTTTATCGAACTTTTACCTGTTTGTGGCTTTTTAAAAGTAAAAAATACTCTGACAGGAATAAAAAGGACTTTGCGTATATTGAACTCGTTAACAAATACAAGGAGTTTGGTCCCTCGGCAGACAAACACTGTTGTGAAAAAAATTAATGCCTTGCGTACGGTTTATAAGAAAGAACTGTCGAAAGTGCAAAAAATCGGAAAAATCCGGGGCAAATCCTGTAACCAATCCAAACCACACTACTTCCTCCATGGCAAAAGCTATTTTGGAGTCGATATCGAGAGCTCTCGATAACGAAATATGACAAAACATCGTTGCGATTTATCGTAGCGTGTAAACAGTACTCCACTTTTCCGATTAATTGAACCATAAATTTGTCAATCACATTGTTACAATTTCTCGTAGCGTGTAAACCACCCTTTAGAAATGTAATAAATATCATGCTGCATGTCCATAGACGCGTCTATTTTTTGTGTATATTATACCCTGCTGGCAAGCGAAACCTTGGATCGGCGTTTACATGTTTAGGAGTGAATCGCTATGGCAATCTAGTAAGTCGGAGAGAGCGAAAATGCCAAATATTTATTACATAACCACTTAATCTGACGCTAGATTCCATGCGCTTAGGAAATTACTTGTCTTCTTTCTTTATTCAGTAGGTACATCTTATTTTGCTAAGCGTGTTGGCCGTACTCTTCGTACACACGAAAATCGGCACCTAAAACTAGAAATGCCCTAGTATGTATTTTAAAAGATATTTTAAAAATGTATTAGTTTCAGTTCTACTGTGTTTTTCACATTGATCCCGTAAAAATAATTTTGGCACTTACCCCCTTTGGTATTTCCACTCTTCAATTAATGATTTATGATAAATATTTAATAAAAAATATTTAATGTGCAATAAATCTGGAATATGCCTTAAGTTTGATTGAGAAATTAAAAATATAGTACCTAATATACAAAAATATTAATACAAGACATTGCTGTTTGACAGGCAGTGACCAAATTTCTATTAAAGTGAAAGAATTGCTACATCACTATTTAATACAAGTATGAGGCACTTAAAAATGGAGAATTTGTAAGAAAAATACAAATTTATTTTGAAACCACTTCTTGTGATCATTTTCCAAATAAAATACTTATGATCTAAAATGATTATTGTACAGTCTTCCTTAAAAAATAAATGTTTATTTAATAGAAATAATTTAAATATCTGTTCTACCTTTTATTTATTTGTACTTATAGTATGATATCTATAGAAGTACAAAATATAAGAAAAGTATTTATAGAACAGAATGTTATTTTATTACTATTATTTTAACATGACGCACATATATTTACTTTTGTAAAACTTTTGTCTTGTACAGACCTGTATAATCTTACGTAAGTTGAGTTCTATAAGATAATGGAATTATTTAAAATTATTTTAGTAAAAAAGCAGAAAATGTTTCATTTTAAAAAAATGAACCGAAATCATGTTTTTATTTTTTACTAATTTTATATAATTCCCATCTTATGAAAACGTTTGTAGTAAAATTTGCAAGCATTTTAAAGTGTAGATCGTGATTTTTTGTTTATTTTATTGAGTATTGATACTTATCGTGTATTTTTTGTACATTTTTGTTTCTAAATTTAATTTTTAACGCTATGTCAATAATAAATGTTTTTACCAATTTTATTGTTATTATTTTAGAATTAACGCTTTCTTTAATTAACTTTTTTTCTATCATAATATATTTCATTCTGACATAAATTTTTCTTATATTTACTACCTCTAAACAACTACCAGTTGTAGAATAAATAATAAATAAAGTAAGCCCATTAAAGATCGAAGCGACGAGGCTAGCGGCGAGCAAGCAGCGCGACATCGACGTGCGAACGTCGAACATAGTAAGTGCACAAGTACGTGCGAACATAGTAAAGCAAAGCGATCTGCTCGAGCGGTTAGATCGAGCGGCGAGATCGATTCAAATAATTTTGTTTTCGTCGCTCTGTCGCACTGTAGAAAATGATAGATTACCAAAAATTAATAGATTTAGTATTTGTAAGAGAGATTGTATGGGATCAGAAAAATAGTAATCACCATAACCGGTACATTCTAGATAAGTTGAGGCGCCTAGATGCAAAACAGATATTTCCAATTTCCTAATTTTTGCTATAAATGTATGGATATTTTTATTTTCATAAAAACGCATCGATTAGAAGCATAACCAACATTCAAAATAAGTTATTTCGCATACCAAATATTGGATAAATATTTCTCTGAAGTTCAAAGCAAGATATATACAATGACATAAAACACGCAAAAATGCAGATATATCCAGCAACGTACAAAATCAGATATTATCCATACGATATCCATGCGGAATATTATATAACAACCAAAATCAGTTATATCCGTGATACGGTTACTCCGTTGCTAACTCTATATTATTAGTTTTATTGTAAACAGCGTGGTGAGAAGACTTTGTCGTTCAATATTCAAAGTGTTTTTAGTGTGTTTGTTTATTATAATTAGCAATATGACTGCCCCGACAGAAAGAACCCCTGATTTAGCTCGAAAGAAAGTTAAAAATGAAAAAATATGGAAAAGAAGTGTTGCATCGGAGAAAAGGTAAACGTTTCTTTTCCCGCGTAAAGTTTTTAGGTTAAAAATAGCTTGTATTTTAGATATTCAGCTAAAAAACCACCGAGTTTTCCCGTGTACCAACATGATACAAACAGTTTTAAATGCTTTCAGTTATCTAATCTTGACGTAACTCAATTTCATGCAAAATTTTACAAGTCTCGCATCAAGAAGGATCAAGATGCATATATCATCAAACACTGCACCATAAGGCTCCGCGCGCACTGCATCGGATCGGACCGACCAGCAAAAGCGACTGCGACCATCGTACATATAGACGGCGCCGGCGTCCACTAAAACATTTCGGCCTGTAGAGGCCAGATTCCTACCTCTACCTATCTACGATAGTCGAGTCATCGCCTCGCCGGCCCGATCCGATGCAGTGCGCGCGGAGCTTAAGGGTTCCTAAGAGAATACGTCCATCGAAAAATAAGCGAGATAGAAATACATCTATCCACTACTTTATTCCAAAGCATATATCAAAGGATTTAATTCCAGTTTGCAAAAATACCTTCCTGAAGGCACTAAATTTAAGTCATAACAGGGTTAATGATGTGATTAAACGTTTTCATAAAACTGGGACTATGCCTGTAGAAAATCGCGGTGGTGACAGAGTAAAAGACAAAAATTTACATAAAAAAAATAAAATTATAGAATTCATTAAGACATTTTCCATAATCGAGAGCCATTATTGCCGTGGTCACAGTTCTAGAGAATATCTTTCAAGCGATTTAAGCATTAAGAAAATGTGGAGTATGTTTAATACGAAATTTCCTGAGTATGCAGTCAAAGAAAGTTTTTTCAGAACATTGTTTAATACAAAATTTAATTTAGGATTCAATGCTCCTCAAAGTGACGTGCGCTCACGATGTTTAGAATTCAAATCTAGAATTAAAAACACAAGAGATCTAAATCAAAAATAGGAATTAATGACGCAAAGTAGAATCCATAAGCTAAAAGCAAAAGTATTTTTTGACCTGCTGAAAGAAGAAAAGGCTGGCATGCTAACTATGTCATACGACTGTGAAAAAAATCTAGTATTACCCAGAATTCCTGACCAACAGGCTTATTACAAGCGCCAGTTTTACATGTATAACTTCACGATCGTGGTTGGATCTTCTAAATCTCTTCTTTAAAGAAAGACAACGTTTTTTGTTATACATGGAAAGAAACGGATAAGGCAAAAGGTTCAAATGAAATTGCCTCTGCAGTTTTTGATAGACTTCAAAACTTAATCTAGATAATATAACAGATTTAAGGTTTTGTTCCGACGGATGTGGAGGACAAAATAAGAATCTAGCAATGATTACTATGGTATGTACGTGGTTACAGCGCGCACCGACGCATGTAAAATCTGTGGAATTGGTATTTCCAGTCACTGGACACTCGTATATTCCGCCAGATAGGGTATTCGCTAATATCGAGAAAAAAATTCGCAAAAAGGATACTATAATAAATCCTCAAGAATATTTGGAACTATTTAGCGAATGTGGAACTGTTCAAGTACTTGGTATTGATTGGAAAGTTTACGACTGGCAAGAACAAGTCAAGAAACATATACGTACTACTTCGTCGTTGCCGTTTAAAATTAATTCGTGCAAGCGTGTAATTATCACAAAAAATACGAAAGGCAACGTCATAGTTCAAGGAGAGCCATTTTACAAACATATTGTAGGAACCGCACAAGGAATTTGCAAAAAAGGAAAAACATTATACAACATCAGTCCCAACGAAATGAATATTGGTAATGGCAACATCAAGCCGGAAAAGATTAAAAATGTGGATGAGCTCTTAATAGGCCATTTTGGCTCAACATGGAAAGAAGAAGCTGAAAATTTAGGTCTTCAGTACTATCGAAACGTATTGTGTGAAGAAAACAGAGGCAATGAAAATGTAGAAGCTCAAGAAGAGTTCCTTTGTTAACTCCAAGAAGACGACAATAGATTGGTATAACTACTTAAATACTATTATCATTTGACCTACAATACATTTATTATAAATTATAATTCTTTGATAAAAAAAGTAAAAAAGACCTTTGTTTATTATTGCAAAACGCTTATCACAATAACAAAGAATTGTGAAGCAAAATTCAAAATCAGATATTTTATGTTCTAAATTTCAAAATCAGATATATTCATTTAATTTATCGAGTTAAAATCTCTAAACTTCAATATAATTCTACGATTTTCAAGAAAATATCAACAAAAATCATATTCTAACCCCTGATACAAACAATTCAGAGAAAAATTGAAAATTGTGAAAACGACAGATTTTTGCGGTTTTCTCAATTTCATTTATGACGGATATATCTGATTTTGCATCTAGGCGCGTCAGTTATGAGATGAAGTAGCAACAAATTTTCGTAAAGGTTATAAAACTTGTCACATTTTCTCCGGTTTTTGAAAATTCCATCTAATCAAACGTTTGCGACACTACTTCCCAGAATTTTAGCCACTGTTAACATTTTAAATTACCGATAAGCAAATGAAAATAATAAATTTGCACAAGTATCTTGCTATTCCTCGCCGCTCTACTATGTTTTAGCACCTCGAGGCTTGCTCGACGTGGTATCGCGCTGCTTTCTCGCCGCTATCCTCATTGCTCCACTATGTTTTTAGCCTTACATGGATAGCATTATACTCCTTAATCTTTTTATTCAAAGATGTATTGGCTGTTTAACGATATCAATAATTAACAAAAACAAGTTATTTTGAGCTATTATTTTTAAATGGCAGTAACATTCATGGAGTTATTTGGAAACAAGTTTTGCTAACCTCTGCTTGAGCGATTTAGCAAGTATTTTACTTGGATTAATACTGAAATGATCTAATTTTGAGAAATTGTTACTTTTTTTCTAATTCGGGTTTTAAACTCTTATGACCTATGACCAATAATATAATTACTTTTTTAGTTTCCAAAAATAAAATTCATTATTTTTTTGTTTTATTAAGAAATAAATATATAAACACGTATAATATAACTTAATCATCTAATTGGCATAAGCACGCTACGCCCCTTATAATCCAGTGTTTTTCCGGCAAATTGCTGTTAAAGGTCGTGTACATTACAAAATTTGTGGAATGTCCTGTCGTCGACAGAACACCTCTTCTGGCACTAGTTTTGTAAACTGGGCAATTATAGCATGGTGGTGGATTGTAGAGCGACGTTTTTGCAGGTTTCAACCACATTATAGGTACAGCATCGAACAGCATTTTCGGGAAAGATTCGGCTAGCACTTCAGTCTTACGATCCCACCTGGAGCCTTCCAGAAATAGACCCTAACAATCATAGGATATCATTAAATATGCAGCTATTTTGTGATTATAAAAATTGATAGTCAAGTGTGTCACCATCATGGATCACTAAGCGATCCGCTCCTAACTAATAAATGAGTTAGGCAGGAATGTGTCTTAGCGCCTCTCCTATTTAACATATTCATGGCAGTAGTGGACAGCAAACTACATGAAAGAGGATTGGGCACTGATACAGATGTGACGGCGTGACGGTCTGTTCAACATAAAAAGACTCAGGGCAAAAACAAGTACAAAAATCATCACAGAACTTGAATACGCTGATGACTGCGCTCTAGTTGCAAGAACGTTACAGCAGTTACAAAAAAATGCTGAACAGATATACCTAGGCATACGAGGCTTTGGGTCTTAAGCTGAACATCGATAAAACTAAAACCATGTGTATTCCCCCGGAAAATCACAACAATGCTATAAAAATCGGAGAATTATTAGAATATGTAGCGGAATTCAATTACCTCTTCAGTTTGATTTCGAAAAAGGTCGATATCGACTCTGAAATTCAGCACACAATTAGCAGCGCCCCAAGAGCATTTTGGAAATTAAAATACAGGGTTTTCTCCAATCATGACTTGAGCACAAAAACGAAACTTGCAGTGTACCGAGCTATAATAATCCATAGCGTTATATGGATATGGAAGCAAAACCTGGGCCGGCACATGAACGCATTAAACAAATTCCAACAGAGACACCTTAGACAACTGTTAAGAATCAAATGGTTCCACCATGTCTTAAACGTATCGGTCCTTGAAAAAAAACCAGCTGCGAGAGCGCTGAAGTCATGATTATTAAATCCCGCTTAAGGTGGGCTGGTCACGTAAGCAGGATGCAAGAAAACCACCTACCAAAATCTATTCTTTATAGCGAGCTGGTATACGGTAAGAGGAAACCGGGCGGACAACTCAAAAGGTACAAGGATATTTTCCACGAAAACTTAAAGGGGATAAGTGGGAGGAAGCAGGCTCAGAATAGAAACTCAGTTAACAACGGCAACCAAAAAGTAAAGAGGTAACAAAGTAATTAGATTTTTGAATGTCCGGGGTGCGGAAGAGAGATAACAACACGTATCACGCTTGTCAGTCACAGAAAAGCTCATGAAAGACGACGCCCTGCGTGTCAAATACTCGTCAGCCAGTATGGGCAGTAAGTAAGTAACTGAAAATTGATAGATATTTTTTAAATTATTATATCTGTAAATCGTATCAAAGAACCATTATACGCTCTAGAAGTCTCGTCTCGCAACAAAATCGGGTTTGAATATGGCGCTGCACCATCGACGGACTCGATTTCGATGATCAGACTTCTAGAGGGTATAACATTCTTTGATTATATTAATATAAATGTGTAATAACACTAGCAATAATTGGTACTTTTTCATACCCATTACAATACTTACATCTATCAAAATACTGAATTCCTGAATTTCTTTTACTTGCTGCTTGTTTAATAAAATATTATTGTTATGTGTATTCGTGGTAAGAAATATTTTCAATATTAAAAATTAAGTTTTATTACCTTACAATAGACGCCTACTTTCGGAGAAAATTTTGTATCTTGTTCGTATTTCGTAACAATGAATTCGAAATGTATCCAGTCAATTGGTAGTTTCTGTTGCCTTGCATAATTTTGTAGCACACCCGTTAAAAATGATTGTGTAAAATAGAAACCCGATATCCAAAACACATTTGGAACTCCAACATCGATCCAGTCTTGGAGGAATTTTAATCTGAAAGTATGTCTAGTTAAAGAGAGTTGTGCGAAAGAGCAAATTCTAATAATGCCTCGTTATTAAATCAGTAATATAAGATCCAAGAGGTTTCAAGCTTGGGTAGCTTTTTCCAGCCCATGATGATGGCACTTTTCCTACCATTAGAGAGCTGCAAGTTTCCTCCAATTCTGATGACATTACTACAAGTCCTCTCACTGCTTTTATCATTTCTTGAAGGGTTCTTGTGATCACTGCTATTAGTTTATTAAACCTGATTAATTCCTAAAATATAAATATTTCTTATAACTAACACGAAGAACGAAGTAGGGAACGAAGCGACAACATAAGGCAAACATGCAAGGTGGATAGCATTAATGAATGGGTAATGAGCAAAAGACGCGAATGGAATGAACATACCGTGCTGGCAACTGTTACTTTTGGGTCGGCATTTACATGTGTGGAAGTAATTAGCATAGGGATCTTATTAAGTCGGAGTGAGAGAAATGCGACCGAAAAATCCGACGCGCGACGGTGTGCTGTTGCGGCGTTGCCGATACGCCTTTCCCTATCAAGTAAAGTAAAATCACGATCGCAAACCGCTTATTTTTAAAAGACTTTTTTTCAAGAGATAACTAAATAAAATCATTAGACATGTTTTTGAGCATCTAAAATGGAATTGTAAGGATATCGTTAAGGTGTAATTTTTTTTATAACGAGAAAACGTCAGTAATCGCGAAAATTTAAAAACTCAACTTTTTAACACATAACAGGCCATAACTCAAGAACCACTTTAGATATTGAAACTTTTTTTTAATTTCAAGATCGGATATTTTACAATATGTTTACATAAGAAAAATTCGATAAGGTTGTTTTTTCATCCAAAATTGTAAACAATCCATCCATTTACTTTTAGAGCATAGCAATTTTCAGCAATCGTGTAATTTTTTTATTGATAAAGATTTTCACATACTGTCTACAAAGAAAATACAGCAGAAATATTAACAAAGTTCTTGAAAAAAACTACAATCTATTATTTCTAATAGATTTCGAGATATCGATTTTTAATTCAGAGTTCTAATAGCGCGACCACTATCGAACACCCACTTAATTCCACTTATTTTTTACCAAAAATGCAAGTGTTTCTAGCTTGCACTTAAACAAATTAATCGTGAAGCTGAACGCATGACGTACACCTTTCCCTAGAACTTTAAGTACTGACAGAGGTATTGATTGGGTCGACTGATCAACTGTGACAAATCTGCTATATCCCCTTCCACGTCTCTTAGCGATGCACAGTTTGCCAGCCCTTAGTATAAGCCGAATGGACGAGGGAAGAATAGTAAGGTCAGCTCGAGACAAATCACCACTGGGAAGAAGTACGGGAAAGCCAAGAAAAAGATGGTGTGATAACCTTACCATCGATTGAAACTGTAGACATGTGAAGAATGAACAGGCAATCTGCCTAAAATAGAGTAGTAAGAAGAAGAAGAAGAAGAAGAACCAACACGAAGAACGAAGTCAGTTTTATCTGTTCAGACTTAAAAATTGTTTATCAAGCGACATATTTGATAGTGTGATAAAATTTAATTCTATTGCAAAAGTAATTGCTTTTACAACATGAGAATGGGATTTTATCCACTGCATTCTACTTTTTAGTGCGTAGTGATTTTGGCTATGGTCTGGGTTAACCATTGATTCATTCTGTGGCCATTTTTCTGTCAGACTGCTTCCATATAGTGCTAAGTGGCTTAATTTTTTAGAGTCTTTAGGGTGGCTAGGCTAACAGAAGTGATGCTAATTTTGAAGGGTGGATTCTGGTAGATCCGTTATATTTTTAGGTATCTTTAGATGCTCTGCTCCTCGGTAGTATAACATACCAATTAAACTTTTAGTTACGTAATGGAGGGCACGATTTTTAAATTCATTCTTGGCCAACCATGGACATATTCGGCGTCAGGCTGACTACGTGGAATTTAAATTTTCCGCTGGGGATTCAGGTGGTAGCTCTGCTGTAAAAAATGTCAAGTTGCCACATTTATTTAGCCACATAGTTGATGTAAAAATAATAAATGTTCATATATTTATAATTAATTTATTTTTGTTTCCTAAAATATTTTGATTAAAAGAAAATATGTATAAGTGGGCAACGCTGTGCCGGTCACGCATAATCACGTGACTAAAAGTTTATTTGGTATGATCTGGTTTCTGGTATGGATTTTTGGTATGATATGGAGGTTCATTCGGCCCCAAATATGGAAAGGGGCGGAGCTTAGAGCGGTTCTGAATGGTCGAAGGCAGCTGGTAGCGGGAGCGCTGGTTTCTTGCGTTGGAAGGGTAATAAGAGGCTGGTAGATTTGTTCGGACTTGCCAGTAGTCGGCGGATATGAGACTGCATGAAAACTGACCAGCTGGAAGCAAGACAAGGTTAGAGTTTGGCAAAACTATGTTGGACTTATCAGACGTTGGAGACGAATCACCCTCGCATATAACCACCTATATTTTTTGCTTTTATGCATTATTAATTGTTATTGAAACAACTTATTGATCGGATATTTTGATTAGTTGATTCTAAAGGCGTTTTCCAAAAAAATAAATGTTAGATATAAAATTATGCATTTATTAAAAAATATAACGTATAGTTTCGTTTCAAAAAAGTTGTGGTTATTGCCAATAGCTTAATAAATAGAAAATGTAACCCTACTCCTAACCAGTTAATTTAATTACTTATGAACATTTCATGGCTTCTCGTTGTACCAACTTACCTGCCTCAAAACTGTATTCATTGAATTTTCATACATTACGGGATATTTCTTGCTTACAGCCTCTACATTATAAACGTCAGGCATTTTATTTAAGATATCATTTGCTAAATCGATAACCATTTCTTGACTGTCGTCTCCACCAGTGCCAGCTGTGAATTGGGATTGAGTTAATAAAACACCAAAAAACAACTAAAACAATAATCATGTTTAAAAAGAGTCTAATAAGAAAGATGGAAAAAATACTATTTGCGTTTCTTGGTTGTCTTTTGTGATATCGGCGTTTTCGTGCAGTCCATAAACTTCTGGTTGGGGTATTATCGGTAACGATTTTATGTAATAAATGAGACCTTCATAAGTAGTATCTCTTGGTACATAATATATACCACTGGGAGAAAATGAATACCTAAAAACCATTTTGTTATTAAAACTAATTTAAAATGTATCATTCTTTTATTAATTCCATTTATTTCAAAAACAATTCATCATAGACTTGAAATTTAAACACAAAAACTTCTTATCTGGCGTTAAACTTCTTATCTGGCCAAATTTCTTATCTGGCGTTAATGCTTAAAAGGCGGACTCCTGTACTTGTACAAACATTGGTTATAGCTGGGAGTTGGAACCTTTGGTGTTACACAGATAAATAAAACACTAAATCACCACAATACACCAAAACACTTATTTTTACACTGGACGCGCATTTCGCTAACCATGTTAGCATCATCAGAATTAATAATTTGCTGATGATGTTGACATGGTTAGCGAAACGCGCGTCCAGTGTAAAAGTAAAAGTGTTTTGGTGTATTGTGGTGATCTAGTGTATTATTTTGCTTTTTCCCAAACATTGGTTATTGAGATACACTTGTCATGTCGTGTGAGCAATTTCCTTGTAACTATTTGTCACTCGTTGAGGCGCGCACAATTAGTTACTCATTTTACTACGGAGCTGTAATAGATTATATTTTCAGTAGTATACATGAAAGTTTTTAAAATAGTTTTTTTTCTACGCATATTTTCCTACACATGTACACAAACTGGCAACACTGTATGGCGCTTTTTATTTTGTATCTCTGTCTGTCAACCGGTCATTTATATTTATCTCTGTCACATCCATTATAATACAGACCACGCAGATGAAGTGCAACAAACCAAACCAAACCATACTAAAGTCTGTCCTAGGAGTCAAGGCAGATTCTGACTGACAACGTCCAAAAAATGATAGAAAATACATTTTACTTGTGAATTAAAATAACAGAAACAATTATCACTGTCAAGATACTGTCATAGAATTAATGAGTAGCGACTAGGAACACAGATTATAAACTTATCGTCAAAAGCATTGTTTTTCGTGGTTCCAATTTTCGGAGTCGCGCACTAGTTAGGTTACTAGTTTGCGCACATAGCACGCCCACTTATGGACTCTAAAATTGTGCACAGCGCCTGACCGGCCCAGTCATTACGCTGTTTAAACGCGAGTTTATTTTTGCGCACAAGAAATTTTACTCGTTTGGTCATCGTCATAAAAAACAATTTTCGTACCATGAATTAGAGACAAGATTTTTATTTGTATACATATAGAGTATATCTAATCTGTGCAAGGAATAACGCTATATGAAAATAAAACCTGATGGGTTTTGAATAAACCATCATCTTATTGATTTTATAAATGTACGTACAGCTGTGTTTTGACGGTCTCAGGGGTATAAAACGTAGATAAAATGGCATTCAGCAGTCTCCTATCTTTGTCATCTGTAACTCTACCTCCATAATTACATTCTCCAGTCAAATAAGTTAGCGCATCATAAGGCACGTCTACATAATCTGTCAAAAACATCTACAAAAAAATATTTTTAATTTAAAACTTTACTCATAAGTATATATCGACCTGCAACTGTATAACGCTTATTCGCAAGTCGGATTCATTAAACTCGTATGGAATATTCCATCCTAATGGACCAAACTTTCTTCTTTCTTGCACCAATGCATGGAAAAAGCACAGGCCAAAGAGTAAACATTGGAATGATTTATAATTGGAACAAGACGAATAGAATTCTTGATTGGAGATTGGATCAGACATGTAAGATCTTAAAAGATTTTGCCTAAGACCTTTGGGAGCCTCGTTGGTCATTTTTACGCCTAGGAAATCTTTGTTTAACTAAATGACTCGAGAAAATTTTAAATCATACCGTTTTGCAATATCGCGACGGGGAAATCTTTACTAGGATAACTGGTCAACCATAATCTAAAGTTTGTGTTTGTTACTTCGGGAACAATGACTTCATCGCATATGCGGTCTAATTCTCGCATCCAACTAGCGGCCAAATGACAGTTTTGTAAAACGGCCCATTGTCCAGTTTGCATACCTGTAGCAATCATGTTTGATGCAATAGGTCCCTAAAGAAGTAAAAAAATACTATAGTCTGCTCAGCCATCGTTCAGCCTCACGTCATATAATCGAACTCTCTTTTTCACTTGACAACCAGATGGAAGAGATTGGTAACATCATTACGAAATTTCGTAAATTACTGCACATTGTTTTTAGTAATTGTCATTGTCATTTGATTCGGGGTTATAATTTTATTGGCGGACATCGATCAATTTCAAAATTAAAATTTGATTACTCCGTCAAAAAATTTATAATTCTTACTTTTTATTACTAAAATACGTTGCCTGTTTATCGAGAGGAAGTTCTCATCGCAAAGTTTATTTCTTATTTTAAGCTAGAAAAGAGGCACTGGTAAAGTACTATGGAAAAAAAAACTACGTACTAGTGAATGCCCTATATGCCCTATATGAAGTAAACGTGTAGTCTTATGCAAACACAAATTAACTGTATTTTTAAATAATATAGCGTGTTGCTGATGCTTTGGAAAGGCACTTATTATACAGTTTAAGAAGTATGAATACCAATATTTAATTACTTTATGCATCTTAAACTTCTACAGTATTAAAGTGTACTTTATTGTATAGAATCTCAAGTTTTTCATAACTTTATTTTTAAAACAGGTACAATTTACGTGGAAAAAACTGGTATATGCGCCTAAAATCAAATAATAAATTGTCAGTCAAAATGCATAAAGGTCTAACGTTTCTAATTCCTATATGAATTTAACAAAAATGTAACTCACTCAATTAATAATTTCAGAACGTACCTACTTAAATTTTTTAAACAATATGAACTGATCACAGATGCCCTAAAAACCCTAGATCGTATATACTTGGATATACGTAGTCCCTACATCTACAAGAAACCGTTGACGTATCTGTTTTAAAAAAGTAAAGTGTTCTCGAATAGTTGAATTTAAATATTTTAAATAGTTTTTTTCTTTATTCTTTGATTTTTTTTGCTTCCGACGATGGAAAGAGATTACTTTCCGAAACGTTAAGCATTTTTTTCTTTGTTAGGCAAATTTGTATTACTCTTTGAATAACAAGACTAAGGAAGGAGCATAATGCTATCCATGTATTCATGCATGGTGGGCGGAAAAAGCTCTCTAGGGTGGGGATCCTTGACAGTTCTGTTTCACGATTCATTTGACACATTTGAATTTGATTTGAAATTTTGTGGATTTGACAGTCTTTACGGAGCTTATTTTATGTTATTTATTATTTATTCTACTACTGATAGTTGTACAAAGGTAGTAAATCTAGATGGAAATTGTGGCAGAACTTAAATTAACAGTGACACTATTGCGATTTGTCGAAAAAGACTCTAAAATAGTTGGTTGTGTAGCGTGCGGTAGATCTCGGCAAAAATCGAGTGAAATAATGGAACAACTTTTCGCTAGTAAGTGACTATATAATATACATACGTGTAGTAAACCATCTAACCATCATCAGTAAACCATCATTTGTGAAATTCACTTAAATTAACTAATTATATATTTTTTCTTGCATTTTTGCTTTTATTTACTACTTGTCAAAGATTAGATGTCAAAGAATTTAGATACGTCAATTTGATTTACCTGCTTCAGTAGCGTATCGGATGTTTGTGTTAATAAAAAATTATTATAACTTATCTATTTTTATTAGAATTATATATTTTTGTAACAATTTTAATAACTACCAACATTTATTCACAACGTAAAATAAAACAATATATTATTGAGTCTACCCTACATCATAGTTTTACATTTTTTAAATAAAATTAGAACGGCACTGATAAACCGGAATTTAAATCGGCCATATTTGAGACCCATCGCGGTGGACCTAAGATTTTTGATATGCTCCTTCCTTAGTCTTCTTATTCAAAGGTATTACTGTAAACATAACTTCTGACAAGCAGCGTACGTTTAGGTTTAACACAGATGTGTTTACAAAAAATAACTATTTTATTTTGTAGATTTTCTTGCAGTGCAGTGACGAAATACCCATAAAGGATTTTTTTGGAGAGATGAATCCGCCACATAGGTAGACATTTTTTATTAAAAAATATGTCCCCAACATCACGACATTCCATTTTCAAACCTTTATTGCGCTTTGAAACGTTTAATAGGTTTGTCTTTCTCGAGGACCTAAGTTTGCGCATGCGCATTAAAAGTTGCACGTATTTCCAAAATAATCACAATTTTATACGGTTTTAGAAAGTACAAATTATACATTGTTATGGAAACATAACAATGTATAATTGTTTATACAATTCTTTTCATTGTCATCATATTGTTATTCAAAGTATTGTTATAATCTTAGTTCCATTGTGTAACGACGACTTGTTTTTTGCGTTTTTTAATTTAAAAATTGTATTAATTACTCTTTTATCGACCGCTTTTATATAGCCAAGGATGCAAGTGTGTTCGGGGAGAAGTTAATTTTAAGTTTGTGCAATTATATTTCTATTTTTATTTTTGTTGGATGACTTTCTAAATACTCGTAAAAATTACTAGAAAATGTTTAGTGTGTGAAAGTTCTAATACTAAGGGCTGGCAAAGGTTAGTCTTGGGTCGAGATTTCCGTGTGTAAGAAGAGTACAATGCGTTTATAATGTACTGAACAAAGAGAGGACAGTAAACACATTGCAAAACGTATGAAATAAACCGAGAAACTGCACATCGCTAAGAGACGTGGAAGGGGATATAGCAGATTTGTCGCTGTTGACCGGTCGACCCAATCAATACCTCTGTTAGTACTTAAAGTTCTAGGGAAAGGTGTACGTCATGCGTTCAGCTTCACGATTTAATTACGTCTCGTGATACTTAATTTGTTTATTTACTAACGAGTCGTTGTAATTTTCCCTATAGCTTGAATTTTTTTAAGTGCAAGCTAGAAACACTTGTATTTTTGGTAAAAATAAGTGGAATTGAGTGGGTGTTCGATAGTGGTCGCGCTATTAGAACTCTGAATTCAAAAATCGATATCTCGAAATCTATTAGAAATAATAGGTTGTAGTTTTTTCAAGAACTTTGTTAATATTTCTGCTGTATTTTCTTTGTAGACAGTATGTGAAAATCTTTATCAATAAAAAAATTACACGATTGCTGAAAATTGCTATGCTCTAAAAGTAAATGGATGGATTGTTTACAATTTTTGAATGGAAAAAACAACCTTATCGAATTTTTCTTATGTAAACATATTGTAAAATATCCGATCCTGAAAATAAAAAAAAAGTTTCAATATCTAAAGTGGATCTTGAGTTATAGCCTGTTATGTGTTAAAAAGTTGAGTTTTTAAGTTATCGCGATTACTGACGTTTTCTCGTTATAAAAAAATGACACCTTAACGATATCCTTATAATTCCATTTCAGATGCTCAGAAACATGTCTAATGATTTTATCTAGTTATCTCTTGAAAAAAAGTATTTTAAAAATAAGCGGTTTGCGATCGTGATTTTACTTTACTTGATAGGGAAAGGCGTATCGGCAACGCCGCAACAGCACACCGTCGCGCGTCGCGTCGGTCCGTCGCATTTCTCTCACTCCGACTTAATAAGATCCCTATGCGATTTACTTCCACACATATAAATGCCCACCCAAAAGTAACAGTTGCCAGCACGGTATAAAGGTCCACGAATTATCTTTTCATAGGCAAGTAAAGTATTCAGTTGTTCTTTTATTTATATTAAGCCACATGCATATACTTTCTGCTTAGATTTACTAAGAATATTGATATTCGTACGGAGTGGCAAAGTATTTTTTATATAATTTATTTTTTCTGAGATTCAACATTCAATTTATTGTTCAAATTATAAGTATTTTACAAGTTAGATTTTTAAAATTAATGTTCAAATTCGGCGCGCGAACTGTAGGTTCTCGACAAGGATAGATAGAGTAGAAGCACCGCGTGTGCAACAAAAAAAGAAGATAAATGGAAGTCGTTGATATGTTTGAGACAGTTTCCATAGTTATTTATATATATGATTTAGGCTAAAAACCATATTTGACAAATAATGACGACGTAACGTTGAACGATGGCTGAACCGGAGTAAGTAAACCGACGAGTAGCGACAGTCTGGTTTGCAAATTTCTTTGCGGTTGCGCGAAATAAGTAGTCTATCTGTCATATGAAGAACCGAAGTTGCCACTGTTGCCATTTATCAAATATTTCTATATACCAAATACGTTCAAATAAAATATACGACGGCATCCCCATAAGAGCAATGGGAGGATTTACGTCCCAGTATTGAAGGACAGAAAACCGAGTCGAATGGTGTCAAGACATAAGTTCATCCTTGTTTAGTCAAACCACCTACAACACAAGGGTAGACTTATGTAGGAAATGCATTGAAATTCTGTAGCTATCTTTCAATATCGGGACAGGAATTTAAGCGGTACCCCCCTCCGTATATTTTATTTTAAACTTATTATTTGCTATATACTCTATTTCAAGTAATATACCTCAGGCAACGAATCATTTTTTTAATTATTTATTAGCTGTAAGATATTTTATACATTCAAATTTAGAAATAAGGATTAAACTAAACAAAAAGAATATGTATAAAACTTTGTAATTAACTAGCGTGTACCAGCGACTTCGTTCGCGTCGAATTAATCATTTGTAATGGTGATGATAAAGCAAAGCAAGGATTTCCATTAACATACAAACTGGATAAAATTTTCTCACATTTATGTCAGCATGAGAAAAAACAATATGGCGATATTATTATACAACTTGGTAATATTTGAGGGGTAGTTTCATCTCGTTGGAATTTGACTTTCGAATAATCCGTTTGCCAAAAATAAGGTTTTTACGTCAAGCAGTTTAAGCAGAATCGTGGTTAAGAAATTACCCAACTATGATTTTGAAAACGCCCTGTATGATTTTTTAAAAATTTCAAAATATGTAAAAAAATCAAATAAATTATGTTTGTCCAAGCGTTTTCCCGAAAGACTAACCGTTTTTTAAATAACAAATATTGTAATATTTGACGGGCGTTTTCACCCTCCTGGAATTTGAGATTCGAGAAACCCCTCCTTATCGAACCTCTACACCCCACAGTCAATGTGTTTGCCAAAAATCAGCTTTAAACATTCAGCAGTTTAAGCAGAATCGTGATTACTCAATGGTCATATTTTATGAAACACCCTGTATAAATGTATAAAAAAGCTTAAAATATGTAAAACAACAAAATAAAATATACGTGTTTAAGCGTTTTTTCGGAAACTTGACCGTTTCTTAAATAAAAATATTGTAATATTTGAGGGGTGGTTTCACCCTCTTGGAACTGGAATTTCGAAAAATCCCTTCTTATCGAACCTCTACACCCTAGAATCAACATGTATGCCAAAATTGAGCTTCTTACATTGAGTGGTTTGAGCAGGATCCTGATTAATCAGTATGTCAGTCACTTAAGGATTTTATATTAGTATAGATTCCACTTCAAATTATGAGCAGTGTATACCATGTTTATAGGACCACTTCATAAGTTGAGCAGATAAATAAGTAGTCTATCTGTTAAACACGTCAAACGAGAGAGAAAGAAAATTTGGTCCCACCACATCAAAAGAGCCGACGGTTTCTGTCGCTACTCGTCGATCCACTTACTCTGGCTGAACATTCTATATTACTGGATTCATGCACAAAACGTTTTTATTCATGTACCTGTCCTTGGCCTAAAGATATTGTCATCAAACTTGTTTTACTAATACCCATATCACTGGCGAATTTTATGAGACAAGCCATTGGATCAGATCCAGGTGATAATATAAAAATCAGTGGTGAACAACAGTTACTGTCGTTATAAGACTCATCGAGATTAAATTGCGGTGGCTCCAAATAAGCTTGGCCCATTTCTTCCACGATATATTGCTGAAAGTAGAGAATATTGAGTAAAATTTACTGAATTAAAAAGAAAAAAAATATACCTGAACCGCTGGTACCATCTTGTCTGGTCTAATACATCTCAAAATGACGAGCCTCTGTAATCCCCTCACTTCATCGAAAGGTGGCGGACATGGTATTTCATTGGGTTGTGTATAATCATAAAAATCTTTCCATTTCCTTAAATTTGTTTTCACTGAATTCCTAAATTTTTCTAATCTGCAAGTAAAATTAACTAATATTAAGTTATATAATCGTGACTTCTTGTACAGGGTGGTCGAAATTGGTCTGTTTTAACAGAAAAATCATATTTCCTGACTAGATAGAGCAAAACCGACATAGATGTCATGGGCTCGATTTGTGAGACACGTTTAATGGCGTAAACCGCCTGTTGATATTTTTACTGCTAACAGAGATACGGGGTCTTTTTGATTTTTTTACCATTTTGAAAATTGCGCATAACTTTTTTGTATTGCGGAATAATAAAATTCTGTAAAAACGTTCTTAAGGCACTTTTTTAAGGAAAATCCAGTGGCGTAGTCAGTTTTTGTCTATGCTTGCTCTTTTTGTCAGAAATAATAAAAAATATAATTTTTTAAATGAAAATCATAGTTGGCTATGAACTTAAAAAAATGCTGACGTTTAACCCTTTCCAACGATATAAAGTTATGGGTACCTATTTCTAAGAATGAGAGAAATATTAGGTTTTCTATCTTTATATCGAAGCGGGCTTTGATTTTGTGTTTACCTATTTGCCTAATTATTTTTTATCACAATTTAATATTCTATATTATTATTTATCTGCATAATTAAATATTTTTGAAAATGTAAATTAACATTCTATTTATATATAATTAGTATTAGTAATTACAACTGAAATCGACCCAATAAACAAAGAACAAAACTAAAGAAACGTATTTTTTGAATGACGAATATGGTTTTCTAAAAAAATCAAAGATGTTCAAACTGAGCACCTCCTTGTTGAATACATAATAAACATCTTTTGTGCCCAGAGTTACAACGATTTATTAGGCGAACTGGTGTAATAAGTCCAAAAGCTTGCCTATAATAATAGCCTTCGTCAATTCTTCTCTCGTCCCAGTGGTTCTTCCCTTATAAGGTTTTTTAATTTCCCCCATAAAAAAAGTCGAAAGGAGTTAAATCACAGAACCTAGCAGGCCAAGATATGGGCCCCTTGTTCCAACCCAATTCTCTCCAAATTCTCCATTTAATAGTTCAGTTGTAACCCTGGCGTTTTAATTGTAATTGGTAATACTAATATAGAATGTTGATTTACCTTTAAAAAAGTTTTTAATTATGCAGATAAATAATAACATAGAATATTAAATTGTGGAAAAAAATAATTAGGCAACTAGGTCAACACAAAATCAAGGCCCGCTTCGATACAAAGATAAAAAATTTAATATTTCTCTCATTTTTAGAAATAAATACACATAACTTTATATCGTTGGAAAGGGTTAACGCCAGCATTTTTTTAAGTTCATAGCCAACTATGATTTCCGTTTAAAAAAAATATATTTTTTATTATTTCTGACAAAAAGATAGAAAAAAACTGACTACGCCACTGGGTTGTGCTTAAAAAAGTGCCTTAAGAACGTTTTTACAGAATTTTATTATTCCGCGAAATACAAAAGTTATAGGCAAACCTCGTACGAGTGTTTATATTTCAATAACTGCACTAGCAAAAAACTATTAAAAGTATTTTACTTAAATATTATGACAAAGCAACGGTTTCAATATTATTTTAATGTGACCAACATGAACTGTAACCGGAACGGAGTGAAATACATAGCGAAAATTTCTGATTTCTACCGTACAGAGTGCGCGTCGGAATTTTCTGAAATCAACTGAAATGCACCAAGCCTATATAGAATTCATGAATTCTACATAGAAGATATAAGAACTTGAAATGAATGATGATAAGAACAGAAAAATATTTGTATTTTAAGAGTTAAAATGAAGAACGAAATTATTGGGCAAACCCTACAGTAAGATTAGTCATGAAAACATGACTAAAATATGACTACCCGTAGACACTTAGTGTTTCTGCCTTCCGGCTTCATCAATATGGGAGGAATCAGTAACGATGAACTAGTGATCCTGAAAAAAGAAAAAGGGAAGCAAACGAGGCACGAGGCACCATTTGCAACTTGGTTAAGCAGTATCTCACAATTCGCGAGCGTTACCACCCAAAAACCGCTGCAGAGGTACTCCAACATACCTCGCTGCTATGACCTTGCATGGCCTTTGGCCCAGAGAAAACAATAAACAAAGGTTGATAAAATATAGCATATTTTAGTCATGTTTTCATGACTAATCTTACTGTAGGTTTTGCCCAATAATTTCGTTATTCTTTTTTATTACAGTTTATTGTTTTCTCTGGACCAATGTGATAGCAGCGAGGTATGTTGGAGTACCTCCGCAGCGGTTTTTTGGTAGTAACGCTTGCGAATTGTGGGCTGCTACTTAACCAGGTTGCAAATGATGCCTAGTGCCTCGTTTGCTTCCCATTTGTCTTTTTTCAGGATCGCTAGTTCATTGTTGCTGATTCCTCCCGTATTGATGAAGCTGTAAGGCAGAAACACTAAGTGTCTACGGGTAGTCGTATTTTAGCCATGTTTCATGGCTAATCTTACTCTAGGTTGCCCAATAAGTTCCTTCTTCTTTTTTATTATAGTCCCCACGATAACATCTTTTGTTTAAATAATATTTATATAGCAATAGGCGACTTTTGCTGCAATTTGGGACTAAGTTTATTTTAACTAATGACTAAGTAGATTTCAGGGTCTACTATTATTATACCGATTTGGTCATCGAAACTGAGCGGTCTGGATTTTAACGTGTAAGACAGTGATGTGGACAGCTTACTGACAAATCAAATGTATTAAAAAGAGATAAAAGTTGGGTCGATACATTTTTTCTATGCGGTATTGCCGGATTTTTCATCAAAATTTCAAACCGCACAAGTAGGCTTTTCCGAAAAATCTTGCATCTAGGGTTGGAACAATTTTTCACTATTAGTTACTCATTTTACTAAAGCTGTAATTAGATTATATATAGATTACATATATTATCTTCATTTCAGTAGCACATGAAAGTTTTTAAAATAGCTTATAATTTTCTACACACATTTTACTATAAAAGTAAAAAACCGGCAACACCGTATGCCGCTTTTGATTTTGTCTCTCTGTCTGTCAACCGGTCATTTATATTATTTTCTGTCACACGCATTAAAATCCAGACTACATAGTTTGGATGACCAGCAGTGTATGTCATTAAGCCATTAAAAATGGATCAGGCGAGTTTTTGCAACTTGACGCCTCCAACTTGACTCTATACACGTAATTTATAATCCATATATTACCCTTTGAGGTTACTAGATCTCACTATTTCTGACCAACTTTTGTCTGAAAGCCAGTCTGGGGCTGGATTCGCATAAGGATTATCCAACGCTATGCCACCTGTAATTAGAAAATTCCACATTTCCTCGTCTATTTCGTTCTAAAAAATGTCGAAATCATTCCAGTTCGTCGCAAAAATACACTCAGATGCAAAAAAAAACGCAACAGAATTTTTTAGTCAAATTTAAAGTGTTATATTTTTGTTATTTTTAGCTCTATTTGCATGAATTTTCTAGCAAACTGTAAATAATTATATCAATTTTAATTCGAAAACTCAGTTTTTTGTAAATTTTAGTAACTGCCATATTATACAAGGTTAATAGAGGGGTTGTTTTTTAGCTTTTAGCCTAATTTTATAACACCCTGTGCAATAATTTCGTGTATAAATTTTCCTAAAATATAATTTTACGGTAAGAACCATGTCTCCTGAGCATTTTGGTTTTTGAATCACGTCAATGCATGCTTTGGTTAATTTTTAAGAGCGAAATGAACTGATCACGATCAATTTGCATTTTTTTCAGTTATTATTACTTTTGATGTAATTTTTTAAAAAGACGAGATGGTTTTGGTGACTATTGTAACATCATATTACGCTGCATCGGCTACTCTATACTAAATTTAAAAAAAAACAAGACTAACGATACTGTCCTGGTTTTAATAAACATTAATAACGATAACAGAACTAGCGATATTAAGGAAAACATCTGTAATAGTGAAGTACACAAACAGAAAAAAAATTGTAAAAAATACCCTAATACTTTGTATTGCCTCCACTGGTTGCTATAAGGTTGCTATAACTGCCTGTATACGTTTGTTCATACTGTCATTGAAGATGCATATATCATATTGCGTTATGTTTTCCCATTTTCTTTAAAGACCAAGCGAAGTTCATTTAATGAAGCTGGTAACGCTTCGCGACCTCTAACCCTCCTGCCGAGCATTTCCCAAACGTCGAACATGATGGGCAGTTCATAGTAGTATATAATTCACAATAATCACTGAAGCTGCCTTACCATATTGAAAAAAAAATCATAAATAAATTATAAATGAAGAAATTGCAAATTGTTGTTGGCAAGTTCATTTCGCTCTCAAAAATTAACCAAGGCATGTATTGACATGATCCAAAAAACAAAATGCTCAGGAGACATGGTTCTGACCCTAAAATTATATTTCAGGAAAATTTACACACGAAATTATTGCACAGGGTGTGTCAAAGTTAGGATAAAAAAACAACCCCTGTATAATACGCCAAATAGTAAATTTATAAAAAACTGAATTTACAAATTAAAGTTGATATAATTATATACAGCTTGCTAAAAAATTAATGAAAATAGGGCTAAAATTAATAAAAATATAACAGTTTAAATTTGACCAAAATTTTCTCCGTTGCGTTTTTTTTTGGATCTGAGTGTATTAATATCAAACCTACGTGCGAGCGTAAAATACCAACGGTAAGCACAAATGAGAAAATTAATTTATCTTTTTCAAACAGCGATCGGCAAACATTTCTGTAGATACTGTTTGTAAAATAATTATTCAAGTATCCTAATCGCTCTTCTAAAACACTAGACTTAGGACTATGGGTAATAGCCTGATTGTACAAGTTAATGAACCATACTAGAGAATATTGGTACATGGGATCGATGTTTGCCAAATCCGATATACAAAAGAATAAAATTGAGGAGTGTTTGGAGACTGGCACATATTGATTTCTGGCATAATCAATTTCTTGTTCCGTTACGGCTGCTAGTTTTTGTTTCTCTTCAATATCAGCAGACAGGAGTTTACTCGAAGACAAAATTTTGATCGCAGTTTCGTCTTCTAAAATATTTCCCTCCGATGTAGAAAGCACTTCTAGAATTTTATCTTCAATTTCTTTCAACATTTTTTTGTTATTAGCACTCTCCACTATCATTTCGTTTTTCTTTTCTTCCAAGTCTGGCTTTTCCCTCGCCACCACGATACCCAATAGCTGATCTTGGAGTCCTTGAGGGGTGATCATAAAATTTAACAGACTCACTTTGACGGCGATTTCCGGTAAATAATGCGGATTTCTTAGACGTGTTGTTATAAAAAATCGGAAATCGAAAGAGTATTCCAATACGTTATCGGATAATTTCAGATACCAAACTCCCTGCTGTTTAAATATGTTTTTAGCCAAAATTGGGTCTAAAACAGCATCTAATTCTTGATTTATATTTTCTAATAGAACAGGAGTTCCAAAAGTAATGGCGTTTTCTAAAATTCGAACGTAATTTGTGTCTGTTAACTTAATTACATGGAGTCTGTTGTTCTTTTCCATATTCTTTACCCATTTATTTGCTTGACCTGAAAAATAAATCCAGTAAGATATGTTATAAATAGTGCAGAGCTGCAACAATTCAGTTTGAAAAAGATCTTAAGTCTTAAGTCATTTCTAAAATCAAAATGATTTAAATATTAAATCTTTGACTTAAATCATTTTCTTCCCAGTCAAGTTATTTTAGTAAAGACTTAAATCAATAGAATGTAATTTAAGTTGTTTTTATGACTTAAGTCTATTTTTGATTTAAAACATGATGATCTGCGAGTTAAGTCGGCAAAATGACTTCAGCTTCATTCAGAACCTCGCAACTAGTGGAATAAATTAGTGATTTCAATTAGCGTAGAAGTTTGTTCCTTTAATTTCAATGTAAAGCTTCAATCAGAACCTCGAAATCAGTGGAATAAATTAGTAGTTTCAATTAGTCGTAGAAGTTTGTTCATCTAATTTTACTGTAAGCATTCAGAACGTCATAGTGGTAGTAATTTTCAATTATTGGAAAAAGTTAACAAACCTTTGACTTTTCCACTAATTATACTTCAAAATTTGCGAAGAATGTCATTTTGGCCTTTGATTATCACCCGTCAAGAAAAATTTTGGTTAAAAATCAAAAGTTTATTGTTTTATAAGCTAAATATTATGCTTTTTCTATGGATACAACAAACTACCGCGAGCTGTTGCTAGGATATTTCATTAATTTTAATTGTGTTCTTTAGACATTCTGAATGATCGTGAACTAAAAAGTATAAAGTCTAATTGAAACCACTAATTTATTCCACTAATTGGGAGGTTCTGAATGAAGCTTAAGCATTCAGAACGTTAGAATTAGTGGTAGACATTTTCAATTAGTAGAAAAAGTTGACAAACTTTTAACTTTTCCACTAATTATGCATCAAAATTTGCGAGAAATGTCATTTTGGCCTTTGATTATCTTCCGTCAAGAGAAATTGTGGTTAGAAATGATGATTTGAATGATTTAAATCAAAAAAAGACTTAAGTTTTCTGTGAGGTTGCAGTTCTGACTAGGTGTAGTATTTAACCTTGAGGATCTATCATAAGTGGATATCTTCTAGCTGTAGTTGCGATAATACCATTTTCAACACTATAGTTATCAACTGGTAAACCGGCAATGTTCCATGACCGTATGACTACAGGTTCACCCATAGTTGTAACCAAAGAAAAATTTTCTGAACAAGGGATTCCTAAGTCCAGACATAACTTATTCCATCCTTTTATTAGATCTTTCCTGTAACAAGAATATTAGAATAATTCTATAAGCCTTAAGCTTGATTTTCATGCATCCGTTGTCCGACGATACGTTGATACGATATTAATTTTATTGGTAGAATTTAAAGATTTTGATTGGTTAGAAAATAACGCAGTTTTTAAATTTATTGCATTTTCATGCCTCCGTTTATCGAATATACGTTGGTGTTATTTTATATTTTCGTTTCCATAACGATTTTGCTATTTTACTTATATTTTTATTAAGGTTAGATTAAATTTGTCAAAAAAAGTGTCAAAACGTCCGTTATCGTATGAACGGGTCCGTTGACGGGCTGAAGTAAAATATTTACGGATGAAAAGTGGCGCGAAAACACTATGACCAATCAGAGCACCGTCGGACCATCGTATCAACGTATAACGGATGCATGAAAACCAAGCTTTAGTCCTTTTCTTACCTGTAATCCACAGTGAATGGGCCTAAATAAGCAATACTGCCAGATGATAACAATACATCTCCTATAACGTTATCCAGTAGACTACCCAGTGAGCGGGCAGTCTCTGACCATCGGGCTTTCTCTCCGCCAAGACTCTCGATCAGTTTTTCTGCTCTGTCCAATTTTTGTGAACAAATAAATATTTGATCTTCCAGCTCTTTTTTCTTCTTAGTCTCGGCAGCAAATTCATCGTTCAATGCTTGTAATTTATCTGACACCTATAAAAATTGAAAGTTGATTCATTACTAATTAAAAATAGACATTTGATGTCAAATTGACTATACTTCTTGAAGTTGGGCCCTTTTCTCGTTAAGAGTGTCCATTTGTAGAGCTAACTCGGCTTCGGCTTCAGCTAACTTTGCCTTTTTGGGGGCCACGATTTTGATTACTCTATCATAAACTTCCATAGCTCGTACCCACTTGCACATTCCCTCGCAAGCCGTTGATACAGATTTAACACGTTCAGGATCAAATTCTCTATCTGGCATATATCTACATAAAACGTATAATAAAACTTATCAATTGTATAAACTCACCGGCACGAAAAACGGGCACCTTAAAATGTTGATGTATTTTAAAGTTTAATATATTTTGTTCTAGTGGGCCGATTTTGATGATTTTTTAAGCAATTTGTAGCTAAATTATTTAACTTTGTAGTATCTCTAAGTTTCCATCTGTCAATTATATGAGGTGAAACAAAATGTTGAGATTTTGGTGAAAGTTTGAAACACCGTGTGGAATATGTTAACAAAGCATGGAATTTAAAAATAATTTTGTCATCTAGGTACGTCTTTCGATAGTTTGTTTTTCGATTCATCTCAATAGCTTTATTTTTTTTTGGAGCTATTTATTCGCTTTTGAATAAGACAGTAACGATTTACAGCAATTTTAGCACTGATTTTGGGTTCTCATTAACACTTATAAAACACACTTATTAACACTTATAAAATAGTGTTTATTGTTTTTGTAATGCCACTGTCATTGAAAAGTCATATTATTATTGTTTATTAACGTTTATTTTGGTAAAAATGGTTTTAAGTTGTGAAGTATCGGCTATTATTGGTTTAATTAATCATGGTAGAGATTAACTTTTAGACTTAAAACCATATCTGCTAGAATAACTGCCTAACAGACATAAATAATATGATTTTTCAAAGACAGTAACATTACATAAATCTTAAACACTATTTTATAAGTCTGTTGACTAGGACCAAAACCAAAGGTATGGTTTTAAAGTAAAAAATACGAAAAAATGTTAGTGTCTTCTTCAAAAGTGAATATCTCCAAAAAAATAAAGCTATTGAGATGAATCGAAAAACAAACTATCAAGAAGAGATATACCTAGATGATAAAGTTATTTTTAAATTCCTTGCTTTCTTAACGTACTACACAGGGTGTTTCCAATTTTCACGAAAATATCAACATTTTGTTTTCCCTCGTATAATTTACAGATGGCAACTTTCATTCTTATTTAGAAAGAGGTACTAAAAAGTCAAATAATTTAGCTACAAAAAAATTAAAAAATTATCAAAATCGGTCCACTAGAACACAATATACAAAACTTTAAAATACATGAAAATTTTAAGATGCCCGTTTTTCGTGCCGGTGAGTGTATGTTTGCTTGCAAAAATAAAACTGGTTACCTTTCTCTGATTTTCTTCATTACAGGTACTGGAATATTGTCTTTATCGTAAGCCTTTAAATGGTCGAGAAATTTCATATCCCCAAGAAGCTTAACGGACGGTCCCCAAAAATCCTCAACCATACGTCCTGTCGTAAGATCCGGTTTTCGTTCAGGTTTAACTTGTCTCATTATACATATCTGAAATAAATTTCCCTTTGCAAATATAAAAAAAAACAGCAAATTATTTAATTACCGCCTCCATAACCAATTTCACACCAAAAGGTGGATTTTTCATAGATTTAACTAAAGTAATATCTTGAGGTTTTAGGGTGTCTAGAGCTGCTACAGCCGCTTCTAGGGCAGGTATAGCTTCGGACAAGTCAGATTCGCAATCATCCTTAATAGCTTGAGCTGCTGCAGCTGCTTCATTAGCTAAAGCTTCATCAGCTGCCACCACCTAATTATACAAACCAAAATTAAAAAAAATAAATCTACTGTGATCATTTCATGAATTCTACACACTGGATAGAGTTACTAACTTAAACTGAGTTATCAAAATAAAACACCATTTTACTACAATGTAAGCATTATCACCAAAAAGGAGAAATTAAAACTAATTCTAAACTCAATTCCTAAACTATATTATTAAATTCAATCAACAACCTCTAGTAGACTATTTGACGGTTTGAATAAAAAGATAAAGGAAGCAGAATATCAAAAATCTTAGATCGCACACGACGGAGTCCTATACTGGCCGTAATTCCGGTTCATCAGTGCTGTTCTAATTTTATTCAAAACGTGTAAAAGTATGATGTAGGGTAGACTCAATAATTTGTTGTTTTATTTTACGTTGTCAATAAATATTGGTAGTTATTAAAATTGTTATAAAAATATATAATTCTAATAAAAATAGATAAGTTATAATAATAATTATTTATTAACACAAATATCCGATACGCTACTGAAGCAGGTAAGTCAAATCGACGTATCTAAATTCTTTGATAAGTAGTAAATAAAAGTAAAAATGCAAGAAAAAAGACATAGTTAATTTTAAGTGAATTTCATAAATGATCGGTTTACTACACATATGTATATTATATAATGACTTACTAGCGAAAAGTTATTCAATTATTTCCCTCGATTTTGACCGAGATCTACCGCACGCTACACAACCAACTATTTTATATTTATCTTTTTCGATAAATCGTAATAGTGTCACTGTTAGTTGAAGTTCTGCCACAATTTCCTTCTAGATTAACTACCTTTAAACAACTATCAGTAGTATATGTAGAATAAATAATATAAAATAAGCTCAGTAAAGACTGACAAATCTACAAAATTTGAAATCAAACATAAATCAAATTCAAATGTGTCAAATGAATCATCAAACAGAACTGTCAAGAATCCCTACCCTAGGGCCCTCTCTCCGTCTACCTTGCATGAATGCATGGACATCCTTCCATAATCTTTTTATTCAAAGATTTAACTATATACTATCAAGCAGGGAATTATTTTATATAAGTAATAGTTCCCTGCTTGACACCATGGGGTGTGACAATACTATTACAACAACAAATTATTTACTATGATGATAAATATGATACCTACCTCCTTCTGCTTTTCTACAACCACAGTATCTTGTTCAATTTTGATCATTAGCTTTTCAGTTTTTGCAGATGCCACGATTAACTTGGGCTGCAAAGCATGCAACTCATCTTGCATCAAACCCACTTGACCGGCAGCAAATCCTAATTTTTCTAAACCCGTTTCGTATCGATTTATTTGTAGCTTAATTTGATCTACTTTCTTAGCGAACAAGTTAATGAACGTCTGTATTAATTCCAAATATGAAGTCGGAGTTATATAAGTTCTTCGTTTCTGTTCTCGGAAAAATTTCACGGCGGTGTTTTGTACACTAACGTGAAATTCCTTACACATTGAGACGCATTTGTCTGTCATCTCTTTTTCAATGTGGGTTTGCGAAAGAAACATAGTAGCTACACGTTCCAAGGCATCGTCTGGCCAATTTTGAAACCAATCGATGGTACAACAGTTTATAAGAGATGGAAACATTCTACAGCGCATTCTAAACGCATCACCGATTGGACTAAAGCAGAGTGCTATATGCAGATTCTGTTTAACTCGTTCAATGAAAAAGTTGTAAAGTGCCAATGGAGTTGGTTCTACCTTTTTGCCCTGAAATATTAATTAAAACTTGAATTTCAATCAATACTTGCAAGTGTATCTCGCTATTAATATTATATAATTTAAAAAGTCATTGTAAATAATTCATATTTACATAAATATGCAAATTAATATAGTTTACCTCGAGCTTTTGACTGTGTATCAGTTTTTCGCTATGCACCATGATTATTTTGCTAATAATAATAATAAACCCCCAATGCGCGGAGGACTTCATAAAATATATGGAAAAGAGTATCTGGAAAATAAAATGGATGTGTATCCACTTTATTTTCCAGATACTCTTTTCCATATATTGAATCTACATACATCCGTCATACTGAGGAATGCTACTACAGGAATAAAAAAGATGGCGGATATGCAAAATCGATAGAAATCTGAAAGATGTGCCGAATAATATAAATGCACATACGCAAGGAACTCCACAAGGTGGAGTAACCTCCCCCCTATTGTGGAACTTGGTAATGGATGAACTACTTGACAAATTAACTCTAGCCGGAATACACTGCATAGGGTATACAGATGACATAGTCATGATCACTTAGGGGAGACATGAAGGCACCCTGTGTGATATTATCCAAAGATTGTAAATGTCCATATCATGATGGTGCCATAATGGTGCAGGACTGTAGGACTGAGCATCAATTCAGGCAAAACCGCGGTGGTACCATTCACCGAAAAGCGAAGTTGAAAATAATTCAACTAGATGGAAAAGAATTCTTCCATCACAGGAAGTAAAATATCTGGAAATAACTCTGGACACTAAACTTCTATGAAACAGCCATATTAAGAACATTACAAGCAAAGCCACAAAGGCTCTTATGATTTTGCACTGGATGTATACCGTGGTAAAACTCATGATTACTTGTGGAGCAGTTGCTTGGTACATAAAACTAGAGCAACGTACAGAAAAGGGTTGGATTAGGCAAAACCTGTGCAAAATGGAGAGACTAACGTTCATCTGCATCACAGAAGTCTTGAAAACATGCCCAACAGCAGCAGTGGAGGTCATTCTAGCCATAGAATGTAGAATGTAGAATGATTGGGAGGGGGGTTAATCACAGCAGCCTATGACCGCTACCTTAAAGATCTAGTGTGTCTCCTTTTCTTGAGTTATAACTCATCATCTATAATTCATCATACATGGGGATTTTCCTGTTGTAGGGAGGACAGGGTATTTTTCATCCTCCTCTGACAACAGATGTTCTTCCGCCGAGGAGTGGACATCTAACTCCTCCGAGGATATAGACCATGGAGTTTTTACGGTTGGAGTTTGGCCCTCTGTGCCCTTCACAGTGGCTGAGATACCCGTGAGGAGGATCCAGTTGGAGGATCTGTCTCCATTTTCTCCACCGCTTTAACTTGGTGTTGTAAGTTGTAGGTGATGTCTTTCTCCTTACTCCCCGGCAAAAAGACCGTGATGGTCGCCTTTTTAGGGATGTTTTCTCCCTTCATTGAAACCAGTCACAGCCCCTGGCAATTCTTAAGCTTAGGTGCCGTTTCCACCAACCAATCCGTCGATTCTTCTTCTTACAGTACCGTACTCTATACAGAGTGTCGGCTATCTCTCGCATGTACTTGTGATGTGTGTCATCAGTGTTTCACACCGAATCCGAACGGCACTATATGAGAGGCTGTACAAGGCAAATATACTCAAGGTGGTTTGCCATTGCCTTCCTTGAGGTGGCGGCTCGCTGGTCGCTCTATTTAGATAAATAAATGTTTTTATTGAATAAAACGACCGTACTGGCTGAGGATCGAACCCAGTACCATCCCATCTCTCGCACCGCAGATCGACACACTACTGCTTGCGCTACGGCCAGCTTGTACGTGTTCTATAGCCGATTCTTAAGATGTACAATATATGAGTAGTATGCCCACTAGAAAGCGTGTCCCCGCAAAACACAGCTGACCCACATTTTGTGGATCGTTATAATGTAGAGAAATACGTCATAAGATATAAACAATAGTTATTACACTATTGTCTGTCCGGCGCCAGAATGTACGATTTTTTTAAACAAAACTTACCGTCTCTCGAGAGGCGGTTTGCATTTTTTCTAAAATATCTGCTTTTTCATCAGGAGCATATAAGTTAGGCACATCGGCAGTATTTAAAACAGTGCTAATATCTTCAACAAAAGATTCGTCAGCAACTTGAGTGTCAGCAAACAGAAAAACAATTGGTTTGCCCTCACATCCAGCCTTCCAAAGTAGTTGTTTTATATCGTCTCGCCATTCTGTTACTGAGTAATTTCGTGATATTTCAATCTAGAAAAAACGGTAGATCTAATACTTTGATATTTATATTTTTTGTTTAAACGAACCTCAAACACTGTATACTCTGACATGGCACTAGCCAATTTGACAGAACTGTGACGCCCAGAACCTCCAATACCAACCAATAAAACATTGCCATTCGGTTGACTTAATACTCTTGAAACACGGGACACGTGTTCTATAGCAAATTGAAACATGACCAAATTCATAGGTGACTTTGAAATCATATTGTATTCGCTTAAGTAGTACTCCATTTTTTCAATCAACAAATCCATATCATTAATCTACAATATTAAGTAATTTTAAGTAAAGATTTTAAAGCGAAGTAATATGGGTTAAGGATCTTACTTCATCATAAATTTTTGGCTCGGCATCAGGTTCGATATAATTACCAAAAAATAAATTCCGGATATGTTGAGGCCCAAGTAATTCATCTTCCGGGACTAAAGGAGAACAAACTTTATCCATTGGCTGACGGAAACCTTGATAACAGGCTTTTTTGACGACATGAAATAGAGTGGTCCTTAAAAGAATAACTGAATATAAGTTTGTAAAGCTTCATTCAGCACCTCGAAATTAGTGGAATAAATCAGTGGTCTCAATTAGCGTAGAAGTTTGTTCCTCTTATTTCAATGTAAGCATTCAGAAAGTCTAAATTAGTGGTAGTCATTTTCAATTAGTAGAAAAAGTTAACAAACTTTTAACTTTTCCACTAATTATACTTCAAAATTTGCAAGTAATGTCATTTTGGCCTTTGGCTATCATCCGTCAAGAGAAATTGTGGTTAGAAATCAAAAATTTATGGTTTTATAAGCTAAATATTAGACTTTCTCTATGGATACAACTGACTACCGCAAACTGTTGCTAGGATATTCTATTAATTTTAATTGTGTTTTTTAGATATTAAGAATGATCGTAAACTAAAAAGTATACAGTGTAATTGAAACCAGTAATTTATTCCACTAATTGCAAGGTTCTGAATGACGCTTAAGGATATCAGATATTTGCTACCTGTCTGCATCATCAATTAATCGATCATGAAATACTCTGTAAGTTTCATGTATCCATAACCTAATAAATTTATCCTGATCGTCCATTTTAGATGGTGGGGTAACTAATAATCCATTTATTACCCTTGAAAAGTCGCGTAAGGAAAACGTATAATGTGACTTTGCGGGAGTTGGTAAAAAGTTCAATGTTGCTTCACGAAAAACTTCTGTTGTTGCTCCTACTGAAAACTAAAGAAGAAGTAAATACGAGAAGATCAAATTCACCTTTAAAAAAAATACCTTTGCCATTCTCTGTACAACTTCTACATATCCTTTGTTAAAGTGCCACTCGATTATCGCAGTAAATATTTTGCTCAGTGTGCCATCATCAAAGGCGTCTATACTGATAATTTGCATGTGTCGCAGAAATCTATCGGTTATTTCGTTTCTACCTCCTCCTGGTACACCCATAGCTCCAACAAACAACTAAGTAATATATGGACGTTAGGATCAAAATAAAGATTGTACAAATTAATAAATAAATACCACATCCACCAACTGCAGTATCGATGTATCTTTTGCAAACCAATGGCCATGATCTAGCCATTGTCTTAATAACTCTACTGGCGGCTGTGCTCCCCAGACTTCTTTCTGTGGCATACCAACATCATCTACAAACAATATACACTTCTTTCCCATAGAAGGTCCAAACACTCCTCTTCTGCGCTTATCTAATTTTGACATTACCATTTCTTGGGTCTGATAAAAAATAATTTTAGAAGAATAATAATATGTGTACATATACAGCGTGGTCCGAACTGGATTCCGGAAAATTCGGCAGCATATTCTGCAGAGAAAGTAAGTAAAAAAGTTCGTATAAATGTATGTCCTAAAATGCTTATTTTCGGAGATACAGGATGTAAAGTTTCATTTTTATTTAGATTTTTTCCCAATAAGTTCTGAACTAACGTCAATATTTGGATGAAAATTGGTGTCTGCGAGTTTTTTGACATGAGAAATTTGATTTTGATGTCAATATGACTCCAACTTGTAGAGGGTGCCACTTAAATATTTTTTAACTGGTTTGAAGAGTAATAACTTTTTTTCCTGTATAAAACTACTGAGTGAAAAAATATAACATTTACGAAGTTTTTAAACGTAAAAAGGGTCTCTTGGTAAAAATCGCTGCGAGTAATGGTTATCGAGATATTTGGAATCGAAATTATCAATACCTGTTGTCAGTGACATAAATTAAACATGTTGACTAAATAGTTATTAGACTGAAATCATAAATTTCAAATGTTTTTGTGTCAAAAGTTCAACACAAACTGTTTTATCATAATTTTTCTCATCATTAATTTAAAAAAATAAAAAGTTCCCAAATTTATCATATGAGTCAAATAACTATCTACTCGACATGTTTATTTTTTGTCAATAATGATATATATTGACCATTTCCATTCTAAATATATTCAGCACGGTTGCTCGCAGCTATTTTTACCAAGAGACATTTTTTAAGTAAAAAAACGTCGTAAATGTATATTTTTTCACTCAGTAGTTTTATACAAGTACGGAAAAAAAGTTATTACTCTTCAAATTAGTTAAAACACATATAGGTGGCGCCCCCTACAAATAGGAGTCATATTGACAATAAAATCAAATTGCTCATGTCAAAAAACTTCTAGACACCAATTTTCATCTAAATATTGACGTTACTTCAGAAATTATTTGGAAAAAATCGAAATAAAAATGAAACTTCAACACCCTGTATCTCCGTAACTAAGCATTTCAGGACATACGAACTTTTTTACTTATTTTTGACTGCAGAATATGCTACTGGAGTTTCCGGAATACAGTTCGGACCGCCTTGTATATTATTATTACCATTGCAGATGTCGTTCTAGCACTAAAATTCATTACATTTGGAAGTACTTTTTCTTTAGGTAGGCTTAGTAAATGTCCTAAAGTAACAGCTGTTTTACCAGTCCCAGTGGGTCCAACAAAGAGTATAGGCATATTATTAGCGAGACACATTTTAAGGAAGTATCTCTGGCAGCAAGAAGCATTTGTGTGTATTATAAGTTCTGAAGGCTATAAAGGTCAATTTGTTAGTTTTAGTGAAAACCAAAGGTTTAAAAAAATTACTACCTTAGCATTAGGAGCAATCTGCTGAGTTTTGTCGACCGTATCTCCCCAAGCTATCCAGCTACCGTTATTTTTCTTGTCATACAAATATTCGAATAGATCAAATCTATCCGGAAATATTTGATTTTTTGAAAGTTTATAGGATTTTGGTTTTGGATAGCTCTTGTTTTCTCCGATAAGCAGTTTTCGGAAAAACACGTCAAAAGATTTTCTGCTGTCTTGGGTGAGCGTAGAACCCAAACCCCATGCTAGACTGAACAGGAAAACGCACTGAAGCCAAACTGTACTCACTTGATTTTCTTCGATTAGCAGACAGTTAAAGATTCTTGTAAAAGACTAAACAGATATAATAAATTAGCTATAAATAATTAGTGAAAGGTTCTTGCAGTATCAATATGTAATATTTTAAATAAAAATATTTCTTGTCATATAACTGATTTTTTGTAAAATCTTCAGCATTCAAAAATAATGAACATCTGAAAATAACAAAAAGTTTTGTTCGCCGTTATGGGGAAACCAACCACCCTCTCATTACCGGTTTCGGAGCCTATACCTCATCATCAGACGAGCTAACCAGGCTTGATTTCCCAAAACGACAAACAAACAAAGAACTATATCAACTGACGAATTAGTTTAGTGTCGGTAGACTAATTATTTTTGAATGCTGAAGATTTTACAATGTAGCAGTTATATGGTAAGAAATATTTTTTATTTTAAATAAATTAGTTATACATTACCGGGTGCGTCTCAAAAGTCTCACCCCTATATTTTTTTATTTTTTCTGATAAAACATGATTTGGTATGTTAGTATATGACATAAATGTGGCTTGATTGACGTATTCAATTCCTTTCGGTCACTTCCTGTTTCACCGGAAATGACTATAACTTTTGATTTTTAAATGGCACCATCGGTATTTTTTTTACTTCATTCGATAGAAAGTGACACTGATGACATATTATCATATTTCAACTTTTGACATTTTCGCTTAAAATAAAATTGTATTTTAAATTTCAATCTAGAGTCCCATGACTGTGTTAAAAACACTAATTTTTAATCAAGGAGCCTTGAAAAAATAGATTTGATCGTCTAATGTTATTAGTGTCTTGTCCTGGCCGGTTATTAAAAGATGCCTAAATCGTATTTTTAATCATATCTCAGTTTTTTCAAATAGAACGAGGATGGCTCATTAGCATATTCGGAAAAAGCATTTTTTGGGAATAATTTGATACTACACACGTGGTATTTCGAGTCAAATTGTCGTTACGAATCTCACATTGCAATTTCAAATAAACCATATTCGAAAATGACAAAAGTTGGCACATGATGTCATTCTAACCAAAGTGTCATTTTCTATCAAATAAAAGTAACAAAATACCGAGGGTGCCGTTTAAAATTCAAAAGTTGTAGTCATTTCCGGTGAAACAGGAGGTTACCAAAAACAATTGAATACTAACATACCAAATCTCGATTTTTTATCTGAAGAAATAAAAAAGTTATAGGGGGTAAGCCTCTTTTGAGACGCATCCGATATATAGGGTGAGTCTTAAATAAGTGCAAATATTTTTAGTGGAAGTATATTTCGATCCCAGGAACATGAATTTTTCGTAAATAAATTTGGATTTTTTTAGTTTTAAATTATAATAATAATAATAGCTCCCGTATATAGCGCTTAACGCCTTGGGAGTAGCAAGGTACAGCTTGCCATACTAGAGCCGTTCGGTATACAAGGAAGGTAATGTGGCTAGCACTACGCTTCAACCGCCTATTATTACCTCAGGATTGTGAATCCCAAGTACTCATTTAAGGGTGAGTCGACCTAGGTACCCAAACTATTTTTATTTTAATAAAAATAGTCGGTTGATGCAATGCCGGGTGTGGGATTCGAACCCACTACCTTGAGATTGGTAGACGAGAGCCTGTACCTCTACGCCACCGGGCCGCCAAAGATCCAGTGGTTCTCAAAATTTAAGCAAAAAACATTTTTTTTTTGAAATTTTCAGAGTGAAATTACTCTGTTATTTTGGACTTATTTGAAAAACGGTAAAGAGAAAATATGTTTCTTTTATCGAGATATATAGTCTGTAAAACGAATAACTTTGAATTTGACAGTTCCCAAGGGCTTTTCTAGTGTTAATTTTATTAGGTTAGCAACTTGCGGCCATGCTGACGCAATGGCGTCTCTAATAGAACAGCCTCAGAGCGAGATTTATGACGTCACGCTAGTTAGATACTACAGATTAATAAATATGTTGTAGAATACATGGAAAACATAATTATTCCTCGTATTTTTGGTTTGTATTTTAAAAATGATATAGTTTACATGAAATATACATAATATACAGTTAATAAATATAATATATATACCTATTTAAAGTAATAAATACTTTAGCAGATAAACTATGAACCATACAAATGCAGCAAATGTTTTACAATATGGCTGAAATCGTATTCTATAGTCAATGTAGATAGTTTTTGTGTTAAAAATAATAATTTAAAAAAATATGTGGTCATCTTTTGACAAGTTTATATTAGTTTATTAATTGCAGTAAACATTATAATATATAATTAAATTTTGTGAATGCAAATAGTAATACATCACTATTAGTAGATATTGAATGTTTTTTGTTAAATTAGATCGATTTTCGAACCCCAAAATTTAAAATATATTTTGCATTTTACCCATTATCTTATGTACCACCTATTCATTATTTGTATATTGTAAAACATTTGCTGCATTTGTGTAGTTCATAGTTTATTTGCCAAAGTAATTATTACTATAAATATGTATATATTATATTGTATTTATTAACTGTATATTATGTATATTTCATGTAAACTATATCATTTTTAAAATACAAACCAAAAATACGAGGAATAATTATGTTTTCCATGTATTCTACAACATATTTATTAATCTGTAGTATCTAACTAGCGTGACGTCATAAATCTTCCTCCGAGGCTGTTCTATTAGAGACGGCATTGGTCTAATATTTTGAAATGTCAAAAGCTGATGACATTTTACTTTTGTCAATTATGACATTTCGTGTTGATTTTTGCAAGAAGAGGAAGAACTGTCACTTGTTTTATTATTTTCCTTTTCTATTTCACGAAAGTAAAAAAGAGTTACCTATAGGCTTAGAGGTTGTGGCACAAAATCTTGTTATTATTATATTAATTGTATGTTATTATTATATTAATTAGTATAATAAATTTAATCTTAAGATATTAACCAGTTCGTTTTAAAAATATTCTACCAGATTCATATTTGACATAAAACATATGTTTACCGCTGGGTAACGGTAAATACCAAAGGTATAATTTTCGTAAACGCCTATAGACTATACCAACCTTGAAAATATGTGCACTTAATTAAGAATCATCCTGTATAGTGCTAACAAAAACTCTATTGTGATGCCGATTCCATTTGTTCACACGGTTTATTAAATTTATTAATTTATATTATGATTGCTCTTACAAAAAATAAATGGATATCCGACGTTTCCACAAACTTCTTACAGTCCTCGTTTATGTGCTCCAAGCAAGGCGGGACCAGCCATTCGAGGCATTCAACCAAAATCTCAATTTGTTCTACCAACAACACTTTTTCCAATACGGCCATATACGAGTCCATTAGCGGTCTCCAGCCTAGCAAAGCTGGCTCCATGTAAATCATACCGCAACGGGATACCGTAGCTGGAGACGCCTGTTCCAAGTCGGCTGGCTCAAAGATCATATTCATCTGAGGTGTCATCTGGACAACGACAATTATTACAAGACTGTCTGCCATTTTAATGATTAAATAAAAAACTAAGGTAGGAGTGTATAACATTGGTATAACACAATTAGTGACACCTCGAAGGGACAATAATTCGCTGGTTTTGTTTTACGTTAAATCAATTAATAATTATTAAAATTGATACAAAAATATGTCCCCGATAAAAACAAATACGACGTTAATGTAACGATTTAAAATCAAATATACTGATAGCTACCAGAGCTGCAAGCTGACAGAATACTTAAGTATTTTTTTATTTAAATCATTTAAACGATTTAAGTCATTAGATTTTGAGTCAGTTTTGGAAAACTGACTTGAGACGTAAAATTAACGTAAAAAACGTATAAAAAAATTTTAAAACATTTTCCGATGCACGTCATTAATCACATCGAAATTGACACTAAAGCCTATAAACCTGAGTAAATTAAATTTTAGCAAAAATGTTTAAATTTGTTGACTAATTTAAGATACCAAGCAGCTCTTCATTATATTTTATAGAGCAAATGATTGTAACAGATATTTTATTTAGATGAAAGCTGCAAAAATGAGTTTAAACCAATTTTTATTATCGCCTTGTTGGTCACATTGCGCCATGTTGCCGTCAGCAATGTTGTCGTGTATTATTTGACAATTATCCTAGTGTCAGTCGAATAGAGGCGTGTTGTTGAATTTTTGGGACTGATTCTCGTTTTTTGTCGTTTTTCATAGTTTTTTTTTCTTAAATTGTTCTTCTAAGCACAAACAGTTCTTTTAAGAACTAAATTTTCGAGTTTTTGTATTGCATTCCTTCAAACTGTGTGTTGAAAATATGCCGAAGCATTTAAACAGTCGAAGCAAAGAGCTTGTAGCTTTCCTGATTTTGAATGAGAACGTGACAATAAAGGTCCTGCAGTCAGAGAAGTAAGTTTGATTGATTAATTAAGTAGTTATTTAATATTAATTATTAACTTAAAAATTAAAAGTATTTTTTTTTTAAAAATTATATACTAAATATATTGTTTGTCACTTTTAAATTAAGATTCATGTCATAAATCCATCACAATCTGGCAGCGCTGTCGCCATCGCTTGTCACTCAAAGTTGATGACGTGCATCGGAAAATATTTTAAAATTTCTATAAGTATAGAAAGGGACGTAAATTGACATAAAAGTGTATACAGGGTGCTACAAATTCGAGGTACGAGCATTGGTATCTCGGAAAACGTAATAGATACGAAGCTGGTTAAATTGGGGCAAAGTTGTGCCTTGAGATGTTTACCAATATGCCATCAAAAAAGTTTTAAAGATATCAAGGATTGCTGAGTTTTTTAGAAAAAACGGATTTTTTTTGAAAATGATTTTTAATTTTTCCTGTCGTTACTTTTTAGAAAATCAAAAAAACTAATTTCACATTCTCATAGCCACATTATTAGGGCTATCTGATAGTATTTTTAGATTTTCAAATTAGCTGATAATTTGTGAGATAAAGAGGCCAACTTATATTTTTTAAATACGGACCTGCATATTTTATACAAGCTTTGAAAGAACTCGGACTCCTGAGTACAATGATATGCCACCTTATATTTTTTTTGTTTTGGGTTCTTTAACAACAACAAAACTATTTAATTATTATTTAAAATAACTTCAAGTCCGACTCTGGATTTTTAAATTATTTAATCTGCTTATATTCATCGCAACAATATTGATCAGCACTAATTAACATTGAATAAGGAAAATCGAGCCAATTGAAAGATTCAAATAAGTAATATCCAGGTCAGCAATTTAAAGACATTATTTTTAACTTTTTTTACTGTGAATTTGAAATCTTAATGTACGATCTAATAATTTGCATAATATTAATTGTCATTATAAATTAATTAACTTCTACCTTTGAATAAGAAGACTAAGGAAGGAGCATAATGCTATCCATGTATTCATGCATGGTGGGCGGAAACAGGACTCTAGGGTGGGGATCCTTGACAGTTCTGTTTGACGATTCATTTGACACATTTGAATTTGATTTGAAATTTTGTGGATTTGTCAGTCTTTACGGAGCTTATTTTATGTTATTTATTATTTATTCTACTACTGATAGTTGTATAAAGGTAGTAAATCTAGATGGAAATTGTGACAGAACTTAAATTAACAGTGACACTATCGCGATTTATCGAAAAAGACTCTAAAATAGTTGATTGTGTAGCGTGCGGTAGATCTCGGCAAAAATCGAGTAAAATAATGGAACAACGCTAGTAAGTGTCTATATAATATACATACGTGTAGTAAACCGATCATTTATGAAATTCACTTAAATTAACTAATCATATATTTTTTCTTGCATTTTTGCTTTTATTTACTACTTGTCAAAGATTAGATGTCAAAGAATTTAGATACGTCAATTTGACTTACCTGCTTCAGTAGCGTATCGGATGTTTATGGTTATAAATAATAATTATTATAACATCTATTTTTATTAGAATTTTATATTTTTATAGCAATTTTAATAACTACCAACATTTATTCACAACGTAAAATAAAAAAAAATATTTAGTCTACCCCACGTCTACCCTACATCATAATTTTACATTTTTTAAATAAAATTAGAACGGCACTGATGAACCGGAATTTAAGTCGGCCATATTTGAGGCCCATCGCGGTGGACCTAAGATTTTTGATATGCTCCTTCCTTAGTCTTCTTATTCAAAGACTTCTACTAACTGGTCCCTAGTGCTCTACATGTTCGAAAGGGTTATAACCCTCCCTATTGCACAAATTTATTTTTTGTTCAATTTTATTTATAGTTCTTGAAACAGATCTTCTTCTTATACTGCCGAATGCGTTTTGTACTCTTTATTGTAAATGCTGAGATGATTTGATTTCACACACACATATTCATTTTATATTATTTTTATTATTTTATTGTATTTGATTTTCCGTATTCAATGTTTTACCCCACGTCATTATTAAGTTTGAAAGCTTAACAATATTGTAACGATGAACAGATTAAATATTTAAAAAAACAGATTCGGACTTGAAATTAGTTTAAATATATTGTGCTCAAATTTCCGAAACAAAAAAAATATTAAGTGTGGCATATCATTGTACTCAGTAGACCGAGTTCTTTCATAACCTGAAATAAAAAATTCAGGTCCGTATTTAAAAAAATTAAGTTGGCCTCTGTATCTCACAAATTATCAGCTAATTTGAAAATATGAAAATACTATCAGATAGCCCTAATAAAGTGGCAATGAGAATGTGCAATTAGTTTTTTGATTTTCTAAAAAGCAACGACAGAAAAAAATAAAATTGATTTTCAAAAAAATCCGTTTTTTCCCAAAAACTCGCCAATCCTTGAAATTTTTAAAACTTTTTTGGTTGCATCTTGGTGAACATCCCAAAGCGCAACTTTGCCCCATTTTAACCATGTTCGTATCTATTACGGTTACCGAGATACCAATGCTCGTACCTCGAATTTGTAGCACCCTGTATATACCAATTATAAATTAAACAAGACATACAAAAGCACAACTTGCGTAATCCAAATTCGCATAATGGTAAAACTGTCAAGAGAAAAGACAAACAAAAAAGAATCAATAAAAATAGTATCGACTCCTTTCTTAGTTTTTTTTTCAACTGGTTATGAACTCACTTGTATAATTTCACCTGACATCAGACAAAGTTTTTTATTATCATCTAAAACAGTATTCATGTTTTCTATCCATACGGCGTCAACAGGACCATCAAATAATATCCATTTACGGTCCAGAGTATAACTATTAGCAAACTCCCTATAATTTAGAGAAATATATTTCTAATTAATAAACTTTTGATTATCAGCAATTCTAGAAAATTAACCTAAATGTTGTAGCTAAACTCCATCCGACCACTCGTGAGATGCGGGGTCAAACTGGCCATAAAGCTGTCCCATTGAGATGGCCTTTGGGTTGATAATTCTAAAAATGACGGCATGTTCCTCCAGTTTGGCATTTTCTCGACAAGCAAGGCGTCCTAGAGCTTCAGCTAAAGACTAAATATAACTATTATTAGTTAATGCTCTATATCAATATAAATATTTTGATACTGGACTCTAATAATCATTAGTTATTGGGTACGTTCAGGCATGGTCAGAAGCTGAGTAGAGCTGAGAAAGCGACTTCCTGAAAAAATTCTGACACATAACAAGTCAACGGTGTTTATATCCACTTTTCTATGTTTATATCCTTATTTGTAGTCGAATGTATGTGTAGAATAACCTCATTTCTTCTAGTACTTTTAGCATTTAACGTTAAAAATACACATTGTATTTTTTTAATAATATTTAACACCTATGAAAGTTGCTGTTTCTTTTCGCAAGTTAGGAAATACCGCGATATGTCAGAAAGCAATGTCGGTGAAAATAGCTGTTGTGGCTGGAACTTAGCTGTTGTGTTCTCTGAACACGCTATAGTATATAACGCCTATAGCATATAAGCCCTGGTCACTTCATGTGCGGGGTCTGTATTTTAATGCATGCTACAGAAGTAAATATAAACCTTAACTGGTTGACTGTGTTGCCAGTTTTTACGTTTGTAGGAAAATGTGTGTAAAAAAATAAACTATTTTAAAAACTTTCATTAATGCTACTGAAATGAAGATAATATATACAGGTTGTTAATTTGTTTATTACTCGCGGCAAGAGCTTTATGGTTTGAAATATGGCAACCTCGAGAGACGACGCGATGAGTCGACAGCTTAGCTTAGTACTCATTTGGAATGTAGGCAGTGATAGTAAATTTAATATATTACAGCTGTGATAAAATCAGTATCTCATTGTAAAAAATAAAGTTCCAACCCTAGATATAATATTTTTCATAAACGCCTACTTGTGCTGTTTGAAATTTTGATGCAAAATCTGACAATACCGCATAGAAGAAATGTATTAACCCAACTTTTATCTCTTTTTAATACATTTGATTTTCCATTAAGCTGTCGACATCACTGTCATACACGTTAAAATCCAGAC